GGGATCCAAGAAAGGATCTCTATTGTTCAAAGGAATGTGTGAGAATTTTGGAGAGCGTGTGTGAGTGTGTGTGTATGTGTGTGTATGTTACAGTAAGATCTTAATTTTGTTGCCAAGGTTCACCTTGAACTCTAGGCTCAAATGATTCTTTTGCTTCAGGTATCCAAAGAGGTGGGCCTGCAGGCACATACCTCTGTGCTCTTTAATTTTAATTTTGGTGGACATCGTTATTGTCCCACAAAATAGTCCTAATAATGATACTCCTTCTGTGCTTTCATCAATTTCTGGTGCTAAATTTTAAAAGCATATTAAATGTTGCAAAGTATATAGTTCTGTATGTTTGTGGGGGTACAGAATGGTGTTTGAGTGTTTACAATATGGCATGACTGCTAGACTTTTTTATGACATTTATTTATTTTATGCTTGTGTGGGGGCACATGTGTCACAGTGCACATATGAAAGAGAAAAATTTCTGGAGTCTATTTCTCCTAACATGTGGATCACAGGGATTCAACTCAGGTCATCTGGCATGGCAGCAAGTCCCTTTATCCCATGAACCACCTTGCTGGCCTATGGTAGTTTTTAATATAAGAAATTATTAGTTTTGTTATTATCCTGTTACCTAAACAGATTCTAGTTTATATATTCACTTCCTACAATATGATGGATTAGGGTGTTTCTGAAAGAGTTGAAAACAGCATCTTTATTATTTCTCTCTAAAGGCATCCTGTATGAAAAAGCCATTTGATTATAGAGAAGTCCACTCAGTGAAAGAGGATGCTGATGAAAATCTGATGGAGGCACAGGGTCCATCATCCACAAGTCTGTTTAGTGATTACCCTGCTAGTACTTTGAATGATGCAAATGATTCTGGAGAGAACCAGAGTACTGTTGGTAAATAATTGTTCAATGCTTGGGGTTTCTTTTACCACTTTATGTGAATTTGTCACTTAAAGGGCCTCATTGAATAAAACTTTAATGATAATTTCATTTCCCTTAGGTATAGTCTACTTAGATCATTCTTTTTCTATACATTATTTTTTTTTTCTGGAAACAGTTTTTCTATGTAGTCCTTCCCGTCTTGGAATTCATTATGTAGACCAAGCTGGCCTACAAACTCAAAAATTCATCTGCCTCTGCCTCCCAAGTGCTGAGATTAAAAGTGTGTGCCACCATTCCTGGGCATTTAAAATATATATTACTGTTTTTATTATTTCCTGTTTTCGTGTGTGTTAATGTGGGCACACGTGTGGAGGTTGGAGGACAGTGTTCCAGGAGTCAGTTCTCCCCTTCCACTGTGGGTTATGCACTCCCGGTTTCAAACCCAGTTTTGTTGGCTGCATGTAAGCACTCTTAGTTGCTGAGTCCACTTCACTGTCTCTCTTTGCTATTCATTTTAAATTATTCTCATTTTAAACATCAAATTTATTAGTTTCTTATTTTATTCTTCATGGAAAAACTTAAAATAGTTTAAAAAATACTACATGATAGATTATTTGGACTGTGGAAAGCGGGAGGATGGTTTAGATTGTATTAGTCTGGAAAGATGTTTGAAATTGTGTTAGTCTACTGTGCCCCTCTCTGAGTGTTAATAAGTGCCTTTTGTTTTTAGGTGCCATGAATCCTTTAACTGCTGACTACCTGTCAAAGCAAGATCATCTTCTTTTAGACATGCTCAGGTTCTTGTGCCTATGTGTAACTGCATCTCAGAACAATACTGTGTCTTTTAGAGCAGCTGATATTAGAAGAAAGTTGTTAATGCTACTTGATTCTAGCACACTAGATCTTACTAAATCCCTCCATCTACATATGGTGAGTCAAGTGGAAAGAAGAAGCTTTTTGATTTTGTCTGGTGTTGCCAAAAAAAAAAAAAAAATGTAATAGTTGAATGTGTGAGAGTGGTACAGTAATGCTGGGTGATAGTGGCTCACACCTTTAATCTCAGCACTTGGGAGGCGGAGAGAGGCAGGTGGATCTCTGTGAGTTTGAGGCCAGCCTGGTCTACAGATCCAGTTCCAGGACAGGCTTTAAAGCTACAGAGAAGCCCTTTCTCTAAAAACAAAACTGTGGGGGGTTGGGAGGGGAAAGAGTGGTACAGTAACTTTGAAGACCTGATTTTTTGTTTGTTTTTGAAAGATAAATCTGAGACTAGTTATAAAATTTATTTGGCATGTGTTCATATATGTGTTTTGCCGGTTGTGCTGAAGCAGTCTTACTGAATAAATGGGGTAACAGATACATTTTATGCCTAGAATTCTCGTTTTTTCTGTAAAGAATTGAAGTTGAGGCTGAAACATTGAAACTTGGATGTATTTTGAATATTATTCCCTGTAATTATTATGAATTATTATACACTGGAACAAGAAACATCTTTGAGACAGGTTCTCACTGTGTAGCTAAGGCTGGCCTACTGAACAGTCTTCCTTACAAGTGCTGAGATTATGCGTGTAATCGGCAGTAGTAAAAACAGATTTGTAAAAATAATTCATAACATGGAATTTGAGGTCTGAGTGTTGCTTTTGAACTAATGCTACTAATATATACCTTAAGTTTCAATTCATATCTTTATGGCTTAACCCCCCCCCCCCAACTTGTAGCTCCTGTGTTTTGTCTTTATAAGAAAAAATGAAAACCTTACCTTCCAACAAATAAGTAATGAATTTATTTACTCAGTAACCTTCTATGGAACTAATTTCTTATCATGTGGAACATGTCCTTATCTTATTCCCAGTAAACAGTTGGAAATAGCTCCTTGTCCATTGAGTATCTTCTGGGTGTGTTCAAAGTTATAGCTTTGGTTTGGTAAACTTGCATACATACCTGGTACATTCCTAATCATGTAATGGAATTCCTTGTCATGAATGTTTTGAACATGCACAGTATTCTCTAATCAAAATGGGTTTCATTGTATCTTACTTGGGACACTTGGTTTCATTCTTGTTTTACCCCTGACTCATGGGAAGGGTTATATGCTTTCTTTTTTCTTTCTTTCTTTTTTTTTTTGAAGCTTTAATGTTTAATGCACATTCTCAGTAACATTACATATAACTTGCATGTTAGGTATTAAAGAGGATTTGAACAAATTCTTTGTTAGTATATGAGAAATACCTCTTAGGGTTTTTTTTGTTGTAACTACAAAATTGCTTAACACCTCCTAGAAATTGATTGCTTATTTATAACTACCATTATAAATGTAACTTGTACCAGAGCTCTTTGTGTATATAGTATTTGTAACACATAGTTACAGAATTGCCATGGTAAATAGGTAGGTTAGAATATTTTACTTCTCAGGATTATCTTTGCTTCCTAGAATTCAGTAGTTTTTCACCATTGAACTTAGCATTTTTCGGAGAGTATAGAGACATAGTAGTTTCAGATTCTTTATCTTTTAACTGCAGTGGTGACAGTAATGATCATTTATTGAATTCCAGCAATGGAAGTTATTGTTTATACTATGTTACTTCACCATATAATTGATATATCCCCATTTTACAGATGAGAGTATATATAGACTCCATGGCATATGGTTAGGATTTTTAACCATTTAAGTTATGGCTATTGTGCTGAGTTTTGAATCTAATATTTGATTTGAAAGATATTTTATTATATGCTGTGTTTAGAAATTTACAGCTCTGTACATGTTTGAATTTGTTTATGTTTTTAAAAGTAAGTGATCTGTGGGTGAAGCTGGCTTTTTTTTTTTTTTTTTTTTTTTTAAACCACCTTAGTACTTAGGTCTTCTGAAGGATCTCCCTGGAAGAGAACATTCATTGCCAATGGAAGATGTTGATGAACTTCTAAAACCATTATCGTAAGAAATGAAAGCCATGTTATGTTATGTTCACGTTAAATTATAAACTGACATGTTCTTGTAAGCTTATAACAAAAACCTTGTCTATCACAGCCTTGCATGTTCTCTGCATCGTCGTGACCAAGATGTTTGTAAAACAATTTTAAGCCATGTCCTTCATATAGTGACAAACCTAAGTCAGGGCAGTGTAGACACTGAGAGCACAAGGAATGCTCAAGGACAGTTCCTGACAGTGATTGGAGCATTTTGGTAAGTATAAGTCTCTTTCTCTGCCTCTGGATGCTGAAGTAAACTCTGTACATTAGTGATCCCCCCCCCCCAATTATCTTGTATAACTTTTTGCATCTTTAACAATACCATGACATAGTCTAAATGTACATGTTTGTGAATGTTTGCTTTCATGAGTGTGGGTACATGTGTGTCACTGCACTCCTGTGGCAGTCAAAGAACAACTTTGGTGTCAGTCCTCCCTTTGTAACGTGTTTGAAGCAGGTACTACTTTCACTGCTGCATATACCAGGCACCAGGCCCACAAGTTCCTCTTTTTCTGCTTTACAGCTTGCTGTAGGCATGCTGAGATTACATTTGGATGCTAGTGCATCTTACTTTACATGAGTCCTGGAGATTCAGACTCTGGTTTTCACATTACATGGCATGTACTTTGTCTATTGAGTCCTTCCCCTAGCTCTGTCTTCAGTCCCTAATTGAAAAGCGACATTTTTTTTTTTATAAAGTTTTGTTTTCTAAAGTGTTTATCATATGGCCCTGCAAATTTTGAATCACATATAACTTGACATGGATGCTGCATAAAAAAGGGCAACAATCCTAAACCAATTGAATTGTTGATGATGAACCAATTGGCTTTGATGCTGTTTATTTCACTCTTAGTCTCACAGTAACATTTTTAAACATCTGACATTTTATTTATGTGTGTGGGGAATTTTGAGCACGTGCCATGGTGCACATGTTCAGGTTAGAGAACGACTAGTATTAGGTTTTCTCCTTCCCCTAAGTGGGTCCCAGGGACCGAACTCAGGTCCAGCAGGTGCTTTTACCCACTGAGGCATCTCTCTGGACCAACAATAACATATTCGATACTTATAGGAAATAACATACATGTAACTTACATGCCTCATTCTGTTAGATACATGTAACTTAGATGCCTCATTCTGTTAGATTTATAACATAGATTTAAACTTAAAGGATGTTCTGTTTATATTCAGTTTGCTATAGCATGGGCACCTGAAGTGTGTCAGTTCCAAGATACAAAAAAAATGTACATCAAAATGAATTTCTTTTGTCGGGCGTTGGTAGCACACGCCCTTAATCCCAGCACTCCGGAGGCAGAGGCAAGCGGATCTCTGTGAGTTCGAGTCCAGCCTAGAGCGAGTTTTTGGACAGCCTCCAAACCACAGAGAAACTCTTGTCTCTTGTCTTGAAAAAAAAAAAAAAAAACCAAAAAAAAAAAATTTCTTTTATTTAGCTTGAATTTTGGGGAAGATAAATATATTGGCATGTTTTCTTATAATGAAAATTAAAACAGGATTTTTTTGAAATTGCCTGTGATAATTTTAATAGCCATTTAATTTTTTTCTCTTTGCTTTTGTTTGGATAATTATTACATGACAATCTTACCTAATTTCAGGCATCTAACAAAGGAGAAGAAATGTATATTCTCTGTAAGAATGGCATTAGTAAAGTGTCTTCAAACTCTACTTGAGGTGAGTTACTCCATGTGTCTTGAAAGTTCTTCATTGGAATAGTCGAAGCCTCCTTTTTTAAGCTAATGAGTGATTTTTTCTCTTAATGTTTGGTGTTTAACCTCAATTGTTGCTTTACTATAGGCCGATCCATATTCCAAATGGACGACTCTTAATGTAAAGGGCCAAGACTTTCCTGTAAATGAAGTATTTCCACAGTTTCTTGCTGATGATCATCACCAAGTTCGGATGTTGGCTGCAGGGTCAATCAATAGGTAATGAGTTAGGTTTTCACAGCACTCTTGTAATGCTGCTGATAGCAGCAACATTTCACTAGCTGTAATGTTAACAGTAACATACACTTAATATATACATGTGCCTGGGAGTTGTGTTTTTTCTTTAATCTGACTGTTCTATCACTTAAATAACATTATTTTCCTGAATTTACAAGTGAAAACTCTGGCTTAGAAAGGTAACCTGCTTAGTGCTATGGAGCAAAATAAGTCATTGATTTGAATGAGAAGTGCCTGCTGGTGCCTCAGGAGGTGTAGAAGAATATTTGGATATTACCATGGCTTTAAGTGAGTTAATAAAGTATAGTTTTGCCTGGCACTGATGGCGCATGCCTTTAATCCCAGCACTCAGGAGGCAGAGGCAGGCAGATCTTTGAGTTCGAGACCAGCCTGGTCTACAAAGCTACACAGAGAAACCCTGTCTTGAAAAACCAAAAAATAAGTAAATAAAATGTAGTTTCTTCATTTTGTGTGATGCTGATGTGATTGCTGTTTGGTGTTCATTGACAATTGCTGAAATGAATGTATTTGGAAAAGAAATTCTGTGCTACCTTAAAAACATGAAAGCTGGGTCTACAAGAGCTAGTTCCAGGTCAGACTCCAAAGCCACAGAGAAACTCTGTCTCAAAAAACCAAAAAAGAAAAAAAAAAAAAATGAAAGCTGAAAATTTGCATATTATTCAGATCTAGGTGACTAGTAAGAGAAGGTTGCCATAAAGAAATTATCCAAGCATGACTCTATAACAGTAGTTCTCAAACTGTGGGTTGTGACACTTTGTGGTTGTTGGGTGACCCTTTCACAGGGATCACCTAAGACTATCGAAAAACACAGATATTTACATTATGATTTATAACCGTATCAAAATTACTGTTATAAAGTAACAATGAGGATAATTTTATGGTTAAGGATCACCACAACATGAGGAGCTATATTAAAGGGTTACAGCATTAGGAAGGTTTAGAACCACTGCTCTATAAATCTGTGACAGTGATTTTCCATGAACCAGGTGTTGTTCCTCATTCCTCATTTATTTTAGTAAGAAAATAGGGCATTGTCAAGATTGCTAGTGGTTGTATGGGAGTTAAAATTTTTACTGTACTGAAGTTAAAATTATCAGGTTATAAGTGATAAGTTGAGTGTAGTGGTATCATGAGGAAAAAAAATCTTAAGTTTCAAAAATTTCAAGAAAGGTAAGTCAGATTCAATGTTTTTTTCTTTGATTTATTAGATATTCAATGTTGGGGTATTTCAGGAGAGGCTAGCAAAATAAAGGAATCAGAAGTAACAGATTTCTAATAAATACCAAGGACAAAATTCATTATAGAGTTGCCTTAAAATATGTGGGTGTTATGTAAGAGGCATTGATAACCTCCACATCAAATATGCCAACTGAACATCAAAGCATTAAGCTACTCATTTTGGGGTTGATTAAACATTAGAACTGATTGATAAAGAAGTTTGTGTACTCTTTTGATTCATGTTTGGCAAGAGGATGATGAATCTTTCTGATAGCTTGAGTTTAGTGTTCAAATCTGACCAGTAGTTAAAGATCTTTGAAATCTTTTCTATGTGGAAAAACTAGCTTATAGATTAAGGACCTTAACATTTAGCAGATGGTCTGAACTGCTAAAGTAGTCTTTCAAAGGAAGAGCTGCTGTATTTACCTTATATGGTGGTTTACTTTTGTTCTAGAATATGCTTTGATTTGTCGGGTTTGTAATAAATTAATTTTTGTTTGTTTTTAAAGATTATTCCAGGATGTGAAACATGGAGATTCTTCCAGATGCTTGAAAGCACTACCTTTGAAGTTTCAGCAAACAGCTTTTAAAAATGCATACATGAAAGCAGAGGCAGCCATAAGAGAAGTGGTAATTATAGTAATATGTGTATGCTCTGTGGTCAGGCTGTGTTACATTTCTTTAGCATGCTCCAGATGAGAGTTTGTGTTTAGCAGTTTACACTATAAAGCTGGTTTAAGTCAAGTATATGGACTGAATAACATTTTTTGAATGAAATTTATGGGTCAGAATGAGTCAAATAATAGCGATCACTTTTGCTTCAACGAATCTATGGTGTTTTGTGAGGAAAATCCAAATTAATGGGGATTTCAACATATTAGAGAGACTAAAAAGCCTTCTTTTGCTTAGGAAATCTTTAAAACCAAAAAGAAAAATCCAAAACACACCAAAAAATGATGTGTATGGTGGTGTGTGCCTGTGACCTTACTATTCAAAGACTGAGCTAAACTTGAGGGCTCCCTGGATTGTAGAGTGAGTATAGCTAGTTGGAAAATGCAGATAGGGGCTCAGGAGATGGCTCTCAGTTAGAACATTGACTGCTGTCCCAGAGGACCTAGTTTGATTCCCAGCACCCATATGGCATCTGTAACTCCAGTTGAAGGAAATCTGGCACCTTATTCTGATCTCTACAGGCACTGTACATAGACATACATGCAGGCAAAACACCCACACACATAAAAAATAAAAATAAATTTTAAAAATGCAGATGGGTACCTATTGGGGATTTTTAAAAAGTAATTGATTATTAAGCTCAAAGCATGTTATTCTATTTGCAAGACTTTCTTGTTTCTTTTTCTAATATAGATTTCAGTAATTTTTAAAGAAGAAAATACTTTAAAGATGTCTTAATAACAATCTTAGGAGTAGCACCTTGTAGTGGAAGAAACTCTTATTACTTCTCATTCTCCTTTTGCTGTTTGTTCTTTAAACAACTTAATACCTTGTGAAAATGTTTCTTCTTTGGTAATTGTTCCCCTTAGATCTTAGGAAATGGCACCTTTTCTTAACTAACTATAGAAACGCTTGTTTCTCAGTTCTTTCCTCTTAGCTCATTACTATAAGATTTAAAACTTTTCAGGTTGCTTGCATTATCAATTTAATATATTTATGTCATTATTCTTAAAATTTTTTTGAAGTCGTGTGATACTCAGAACCCTGATCTTCTGGATGAGATTCATAATAGAAAATCTGTTTTACTGATGGTGATAGCTGTGATCTTGCACTGTAGCCCTGTCTGTGAAAAACAGGCTCTGTTTGCCTTATGCAAATCTGTGAAGGAAAATGGATTAGAACCTCATCTTGTCAAAAAGGTATGATGAATATGTTCACATTATTTGTATGTGGCATTTGATGCTTAGAAACAGCTTCTTTTTCAGGGATTATTAGAAACAAGTTTGCATGAGTTTGTGCATGTGCATGTGTTTTACCCTGCTGGGGCTTGGACCCAGAGCCTTGTCCTTAATAAGCAAACACTCTACCGCTGAACTATTGTCTTTTCCACAGCCATACTTAATAATTCTTTAAGTGCTATATTTGTATTCAGCATGACTACGTAGTTTTATAAATCACTCATTGAGAACTAGCAAAAGTGAGTGATCTGTCTCCACACAGACCAGATCCTCTAGAACATTGTTTGTTGATGGAAACATTGGATAGATTTGGTTGCTTTTGCCTCATAGATTGTGGAGCGTGCCACACGTTGGGATTTGACAAGGCCAGAAAACAAAGTTGAGGATAATGTGGCTGTAGGTTACATTTAGAAAAGAGGCCTGGGCTCAATCATTGCAACCAAATCACCCCATTTTTGTAGCACATGGCAGCCCTCCCTGTTTTCCACTCCAAGTTCATTATATGGGAACCTCTAAAAGTTCTTGTTGCAGATTTTAATGTGGTGAATATGGGCTGACAGTTAACTTTGGACCAGCATGGGTTCCCTGGAGCTTTCTTGTAGGGCGCTCTGTAGGGAACTGGTCTTAAATGAGTTAACCTTTTTCTTACTGTTATTAAAATGAGTAGAATGTTTTTGGATTTTTGAAAATTTGGATGTGAGGCAGAAAATATTTAATTTTTCCTAAAACTTTCCTTGGAGATATAGTCAGCTATATAAAATTATGCTATTATTTTTAAATGTTTATTATGGGTTTTCAGTGTGCTGGGTGCTATGCTAGCAAATGTATAGTACATTTTCCATTTCTCATTTATTACCACACCTGTGTCATTGATGAAGAAGTCAGGTAGAAAAATGTCAGGTGACTGATACAGTCCTAGTTTAAATACCTACAAGCTGGAATGATGGTTGTTCCCATTTTCTTAGCATCACATTTTCCTTTTGTGCAGGTTTTAGAGAAAGTCTCTGAATCTTTTGGGAGTAGATGTTTAGAAGACTTCATGGCTTCTCATCTAGATTACCTGGTTTTGGAGTGGCTGAACCTTCAAGATACTGGATACAACTTATCTTCCTTTCCTTTTATTTTATTAAACTACACAAGTATTGAGGATTTCTATAGGTAGGTTTGTATATGTTGTGTGCAGTAGAGTTTGACAACCCTCTTCCCACCTCTCACATCAATAGCCACAGGTAGGAAGTTGCCTGTTTTTTTTTTTTTGTTGTTGTTGTTGTTGTTGTTTGCTTGTTTAAATAAAGACATACTGAGAATGTATCAAAGGATGCATTTTAGCTGTTAGTAATCAGTTGAGCATCTTTGAGTAAACTGTGGTAATACCTTATGCATCTTGATTTACACACAAATATCTTCCTTTGGAAAATAATCAAAGATATATTACTAGAGGGAAATTATTTCCTGGTTGACTTTGTCTCCCTTTGCTTGATAGCAGATTATTTAATCATTATTTCTATGAGTTTTCAAAGCTTATCCAGAATACTAGGGTGTAGCTCAGTTGTTACAGTGCATGCCTAATATGCTCAAAGTCGTGGATTCAGCACTGACTACGTAAACCAGACATAGTGGCTCCTAGTTATAATCCCAGGACTCCGAAGGGAGATAGATGAGGGATGCTCAGTAGTTCAAGGTCATTTTCATCTTCATAGGGAGCTCAATGCCAGACTGTACTACAGAAGACCCTATATCCATTTGATGGTCTCTATCATCAATTCTTTTTTTGCAATAACTTTTATATTCTTTGAAGTTACAAATTGCTTTACCTTTGGTCTCCTAATATTGCATTAAGTTGATTATGTGTAAAAAACTAAAATTCCTTAACTGGGCATGGTGGTGCATACCACATGCCTGTAGTTCCTGAACTTGAGAGGTGGAGGCAAGAAGATTACCACAATTTAGAGGTCAGTGTGGTCTATACAAGTATAGTCCATACAGAATGAGACTGTTTCATATAAAGGGGAGGGAGGATTAAGTTGAACTTTAAGTGTTATTTATATTTTCCTTAACTTTAATTTCTCCATTTATAACATGAAAATAAGAGTACTTAAGGATCTAAGGGCTGGAGCTATAGCTCATCAGTTAAGAGCAATGACTTCTCCTCTAGAGGACCCACATTCAATTCCCGGCACCACATGGTAGCTCACAAAGACCAGTAACTTCTTTTCCAAAGGATCCAATGCCCTCTTTGGTCCAAGGGATCCAATGTTCTTTTCTAGCCTCTATGGGCACCAGGCATGCAAGCAGTACATAAACATATACGCAAGCAAAACACCTGCATACATAAAATTTTAAATAAATAGATAATTAAAAATGTATAAAGAATATTTAAAGATTGCAAGTGTTGCTTTAAAACACTGTTAAAGCATTTTGTTATTTTAAGGTAAAATTTTACTTTGAAAATTTTTATTACCTAAATTTTAAACTTCCACATTTTCAGGTCTTGTTACAAGGTTTTGATTCCACATTTGGTGATTAGAAGTCAATTTGATGAGGTGAAGTCCATTGCTAATCAGATTCAAAAGTGTTGGAAAAGTCTGTTGATAGACTGCTTTCCAAAGATTCTTGTGCATATTCTTCCTTACTTCGCCTATGAGGGCACAGGAGACAGCAGCATAACACAGAAGAGAGAGATTGCTACCATGGTCTATGATACACTTAAAGGCGAAGACTTACTAGGAAAACAGGTATGTCTTCAATTTTTGTCTACCATTATCCCCTTACTGATAAAAGATGTAAGCTTTAAAGTTTAAGGTTGTCAGGGTAGGGGAGATTGCTTGGTAAAGTGTTTGCTGGGTAAATATGACTACCTGAGTTCATATCCCTATGTCCACATAAAAGCTGAACATGTAACCCCAGAGCAGGGGATCCTGGATGCTTGCTAGCAATACTAGAGAATTTCTGCCCTTTTGAGGTTACCTGTAGCAGAAGCAGAGGTGAGAAATCTACCTCTTAGACAATCATCATTTTAGTGACTATTGGTGAAAGGTGATGCTGGCTTCAGATTTTGGGATTATTACATGATACTGGGAGAAGAGTACAGGGCAACTAAGGGGCTTATTGCCAGTTACAAAGCCTGTTGCCAGGCGTTGGTGGTGTACACCTTTAATTCTAGCACTCAGGAGGCAGAGACAGGTGGATCTCTGTGAGTTCGAGGCCAGCTTGGTCTCCAGAGCAGTGCCAGGATAGGCTCCAAAGCTACACAGAGAAACCCTGTCTCGAAAAACCAAAATAAAATAAAATAGCTAAGATTGTTGAAGAGTTAGCAAATGAATGAAAAATAAAATCAAATTGAGGAACAGTGAAGATTATGGAACTTTGCTAGTTGGAGAACTTCCAATTTGAGAAGTTTAATGACAAATCCAAAGTCTGCTAAAATGATTCTGTCAGAGAAAGGTGGCTATGTAGAAGTAAATGTAAAGGTTTTCTTTGTGGAAGTTGGGCTTAGTTATCTTTTTTTTTTAATATATAGTTATGACATAGTAAGGAATTAATACATACCATTTGCTGTTGTAAAAAATCACAACTATAACAATGTTTAATATATTTTAATTTTGTATCCTTGTAGATTGATCAAGTATTCATTAGTAATTTACCAGAGATTGTGGTGGAGTTATTGATGACATTACATGAAACAGCTGATTCTGATGCCAGTCAAAGCACTGACCTCAGTGACTTTTCAGGGTATGCCCATTTCATAGAGAACTAGCTATAGCTGAGTTACCTTAATTATGAATCTCCTTCACTGCAACTTTCCTACTCTGCTTGCTCTTTCTAGCTGACTTTTGGGGGGACGCAGTAGTCTGTTTATTTTTACTCTTCCTTTGGTATCAATATTGAGCTACCTAATGCCGTTTGAGATTGTTTTTCTTTTTGTGTTTTATTACTGGTTCTCTTATCCATGTCTTGCCTTTCTCTGCCTCCTTCCTTTGTGGTGCTCCTTAGCTTAGATGTGAAATCAGTTGGTTATATATGAATATTATAGTGATTTTTGGGGGCTTGATTGTAAGTTACTTGAAAATTCTCATTTTAAAAAAAGATTAAAAAATATTTTATTCTTTTGTGTATAGGTGTTTTGCCTGCATGTGTATCTATGCATCATGTGCATGCAGTACCCATAGAGGCCTCAAGAGGGCATTAGAGCCCCTCCTCCAACTCACACCCCTTGCAGTTGGCGTTGTTAGCCACTATGTGGGTGCTATGAATTAAACCTTGGTTGTCTAGAAAAGCAGTCAGTGCTCTTAACTGCTGAGCAATGACTCCAGTCCCCAAAATATTTTTGTTAGTTTTTATGTGGCAGCATTTCACTATGCAGTGATGACTCTCCCAAAACTCACTTTGTAGAACAGGCTGGCTTCAAGCTCAGAGATCTGCCTGCTTCTGCCTCCCCAGTGCTGGGATTAAAGGCATGTGCTATCGTGCCCTGCTGAAAATACTCAATTTTTAAAAATGCTGACTGTGCTAAGCATATTAATTAGTAGTAATGCTGAGAAAGTACTTAGAGTTTTTAATTGTAAATATAATTTAATACTCTAATGCATTACCTGGCTTAAGATACTTACTATTGGTCTTGCAGTTAGTACAGAGTTGTAAATCAAACCTGAAGGGAAGTTTTACTAAGTCCCAACTCTGGGGCTGCCATTGACTTCATAAAAAGTTAAATAAATCAATTATTTTAAACAAACCCATCTGACATTATGGACATAAGAGGGATAAATGCCTACCTAATTCATGTATGTGAACTATGTTTGTTATATTTTTTGTGATTTAAAAAAATAGTTTTTTAATAGAAAGTCACTTTTGTAACCTGGGAGTTAATTTTAAATCTCCATTTTGGAAGTTCACTTGTTTAATTTCGTTTTGAAAATTATTATTTTTTTTTCTTCTTTAGGGATTTGGATCCTGCTCCTAATCCACCATATTTTCCATCCCATGTTATTAAAGCAACATTTGCCTATATCAGTAACTGTCATAAAACCAAGTTCAAAAGCATTTTAGAAATTCTTTCTAAAATCCCTGTAAGTACCTATTACATTATTACCATAGTAATTGATAAGAAAAGTCCACTTCATCTAGAAAATCAAAGCATATCTTGTGGGGGTATGAAAATTTAGTTGACTAATTTAAAAGGTTTAATATATTTAGTATAATATTTTTCATGTGATATCAGGCCCATATCTAAATGATCATTTAGTAAAGTATAAACTATATTGGTTATAGCTGAATATATTTGATTTTAAAATATTTCTCTAAATGTGTTATCTATTTTGTAGGATTCCTATCAGAAAATTCTTCTGGCCATTTGTGAACAAGCAGCTGAGACAAATAATGTCTATAAAAAGCACAGAATTCTTAAAATATATCACCTGTTTGTTAGTTTATTACTGAAAGATATGAAAAGTGGCTTGGGAGGAGCTTGGGCCTTTGTTCTTCGAGATGTTATTTATACTTTGATACACTATATCAACAAAAGGTAAATAATATATTGGACTGATGCATTAGCAATATTTTGTGTGTGCTAGTCTTTTATGTGTGTAAGCATGTTTTCATGGTAATCTCATTCTATTTTGGTTACTGTGTCTTTGTTATTAAAAGTAGTATTAAGTATTATACTCTTGCTTTGTTCTTTATACTCAGAATTGCTTTGGCAGTTTGAGTTTTTATGTATATGTCTATTTGAATCTTACAGTTTTTATTTATTTTTAGTTCTCTATGGAATCATCGGTATCTTTAGGGATTATATTACATAGGTTGCTTTGGGTGGAGTGAGCCTTTTAATAATAATTCAATGATTAAAGTATTTCTTCCTTTTTTATTTTCTTTCATTAATACTTTATAAGTTTCTTGTTTTTGTTTTGTAGAGATTGTTTCTGTTTGGGTTAAAGTAATTTGTAGCTATTATAAATGAGATTTCCCCTCCCCCCTTTTTCTATTTTGTTATTTTCAGTATGAAGAAATCCTGATTTTTTTTTTTTTTTTTTTGTTTTGTTTTTTATTTTTCAAGACAGGGTTTCTCTGTGTAGCTTTGGAGCCTGTCCTGGAACTCACTTTGTAGATCAGGCTAGTGTTGAACTCGCAGAGATCTGACTGCCTCTGCAGTCCCAAGTGCTGGGATTAAAGCCGTGCACCACCACCCAGCAATCCTGATTCTTTTATGTTGATTTTATAACTAGAACTTTTACTGGATACATTTATTAGTTTTATTAGGGCTTTTTTCTTATTTGTTTTTTTGTGGAGGTGTTAAGTTTACCTGCAGATAGTGGTGATTGGACTTTCTCTGTTTGTTTGGACACACTTAATTTATTTTTCTTTCCTGTGTGCTCCATTATTGCCTTGAAATAGAAGTGGTGAAAAAGTAGTTCTTATCTTTTTCAAAATGTTAGAAAAACTGTTCAGCTTTTCTCTGTTTACTGTGTTAACTGTGAGCTTCTGTGTAGCATAAGGCCCCCTCCCCCGAGAGATGTTAAATTTATTCAAATTCCTTTTTTGGTTGTTGAGATCACCATAGATTTTACCCTTAATTCTCTTGATGTATGTTTTAGCACTTTTATTGATTTGCATATGTTGAACCATCCTGGCATCTCTGGGATGAACCCCACCTGGTTATGTGTAATCTTTGCAGTGATGTTGAATTTGATTTGCTAGAACTTTGTGGAGGACTTTAGTATCTTTGCTTATCAGGAATATTGGCCTGTAGTTTTTTGTTGTTATGTACTTGTCTGGTTTGGGTATCAGGCTAATTCTGGTCTAGTGGAATGTATTGGCAGAAATTCTCTCTGTAATTTTGAGAATAAACAATATTGGTTTAGTGAAGTCATGTGGTCCTGGGCTTTGTTGTTGTTGGATGACTTTTTATTTAGTCTCATTACTTGTTATTGACTTGTTCAAGTTTGCTATTGAAGTAAGTTTTTCTTTCCTTATTATTGATTATTATTGTTTTAAAGTAGGGTCTAGCTGTGTTGCCTTGAAATACCCAGGTTCAGGAATTCTTCTTGCCTTGGCCTTCCAAAGAACAAGAACATAGGCATGTAGTCTCTGAATAGACTTATTTGGCTGTCTTTTTTTTTTTTTTTTTTTTTTTTTTTGAGGGTTTTTTTTTTTTTTTTTTTTTTTTAGCTCCAGAGGTTTGTCATTTTGTATGTCTTTAAACAATGGAAATTTAAAATCATTCATCATTTTGTTATGGTGAAAGCCTTCAAAATCCTTTCTTGTAGCTTTTTGACCTATTATTCTCTGCCATTGTCCTCTTCTGTAGCACATTGGAATGTCTAGTTTCCCAACTGTAACTTAGAGCGCACAGATCCTCTTTCCCATCCTTCTGTATCCCCACTCTCTGTTCTTTGGTAGTCCTCATTCTATCCTTAACTTCTAATTAGATTTTAAAATTATTTTGAATTCTTCCTTTACTAACTCTAGTGTCTAAAGTTTTTCAGGAAATGTTTCTGTTTTCTTCCTCTGAATACTCCATGCTTTATTTCTTTATATGGTTTGCAATTTTATTGATAAAATCTGACCTCTTCAGTACATAATGAGGTTAAGTGTTGAAATCTGATTTTCCCTAAGGTCTGACTTGGAATGTTTATCCATGCATGTTGAGTATCTGGGTATGCACATGGAGGCTAGAGTGAAACATACTCTGTCTTCCTCTGTCTCCTTTAACCTATTTCCTTAAGACAGCGTCTCTCACTAAGGAGAACCTGGCCATTTCAGCGAGTCTGACTGGCCTGCAAGCTCCTGACCCACCAGTCCTGTGGTGTGGACATGAACAACCATGCCTGACTCTTTATATAGGTGCTCAGAATTAGAACTCAAGTCCTTGTGCTTTCAGAGTAAGCACTTTTACCCACTGAGCCATCACCCCAATGTTGGTTGACTTTTATTCATTTTCTTCTCTTTTTCTTTCTTCCTTCCTTTCCTTCCTCCCTCCCTCCTTTCTTGTCTAATTTTTATTTTTTTACTGAACACCAGCTGTTATCAAGTAGCTGTGTTGTCAGTGGTTTTCTTGCTGTGTGTATTCAATGAGGCCTGGCTTTCTTTGCTTTCTTTTGAATAGTACCTTTCAGAGGTTGCTTGACTATCGGGAGCAGCACTAGCAGAAGTACTGGGGATGGGGAAAGCATGAGAGAAAGAATAAGACTTTTGTTTACAAAAATGACTGTTGGTACTGTCCTTCAGTGCTTGCTGGCTTGCAGTAATTCTTGGGTCTCTTAGTTGAATGATTGTGACAGTTTTTTGTTTTTCAGTAATTCTATCAGAAAACTGGAATTTAGGATTGCATGTTCTGTATCTTTCTGACATCCTTTTTCTCTTTTGGATTGTAACCATTGATGTATTATATAAAGCATTAGAATTAGAGATGTTGAATAAAATGACTTGTATATTACTTCAAAGTAGTTTCTTAGACCTTGTTATTTTTTATTTTGTTTTTCTATTAGGCCTTCTCATTTCACAGATGTATCATTGCGGAGCTTTTCCCTTTGTTGTGATCTGTTAAGTCGAGTATGCCATACAGCTGTAACTCACTGTAAGGATGCTCTAGAAAACCATCTTCATGTTATTGTTGGCACACTTATACCGCTTGTGGATTATCAGGAGGTTCAAGAACAGGTAATTTACCAGTTGAGATTTATTTGAGATAAATGATACTTTTGGGAATTGAATGCTTTAAGTTTACCTGGTGTAATTAGTAGTTTTTATGGGAATGTTTTTAATAAGCAATGGGGAAGACATTATTAGTGAATGTCTTTGAAATCAGTTACCTAGCCATTGGCAGTTTTGATCAAATAAATCTGATAGTTTTACCTATTACTAGTAGTTCAAAGTAGAGCTGGCAGTTCTCACTGTTACGTGAGATCCCATACAAAGTGCTTCATTAAACACTGTATTTGTTATGTCCACTTTGTGTGGCACTGTATATACTTTAGTTTTTTGAAGCCATACATACCCATATGTGTGTACTGATAGCTGGGTACCACACATACCATTAGACCATTTCTGCATTAGCAGAGGTTTGTTTATCAGTTATAGTGGGATTTGACTCTCTGAATATAATTAAGACTTTCCCATCCCTCTCCTTTGGTAATTATTTAGGTATTGGACCTGTTGAAATACTTGGTAATAGAGAATAAGGACAATGAAAATCTCTTTGTCATGATTAAACTTTTGGATCCTTTTCCTGACCATGCTGTTTTTAAGAATTTGCGGCTTACTCAACAGAAAATCAAATATAGTGGAGGACCATTTTCACTTTTAGAGGTAATAAAAGTTTTATTTACAATTTTGTATTACAGAATATAGGCAGTAGTATTTTTTTAAACCTTTAATGTGTGACTGATAAAGACAGAATACTTTCTGTTGTAATAAAAATAATGCCTGAGATTTACCTTCTTAAATAAAATCCAGATCTTTTAAAATATACATATATAATCCAAATTTATGTGTCTGTGTATATATGCTTTATATGTGCATGTGTTCAAGGAAGCCAAATGAAGGTTTCAGATTCCCTTGTAGCTGAAGTTATAGATCTTTCTGAGCCACCTAACATGGGTTCTGGGAACTGAACACAGGTCCCCTGCAAGAGCAGCCAGCTCTTTTAACCACCAGGCCTTCTCTTCAGCCCCTCAAAGCAGATCATTATGCATCTTCATGCATTGAATTTAAAGCATAAATATCAAAACTTCCTGACAAAGATGAATTTGAATATTCAAAGAATAGTATAAAATCTTGCTAAATTTTACACAAATAGGGTTCTATGGTTCATTAATATCTCAAAATTGCCATCTGTTTCTTTGAGAGTCAGTAATATTTATATTAGTGATGATATTTATCATGTTAATCTTTTATAAACTTGTCATACCTATATTCTTTTAAATATTATAATCTGAAAATCATTCTATTTGACTATCAATCTGGAAACATTTAATACATTAAGATATAAAATTCAAGTTGTATTACTAAATAAAAATATTGAAATGTTTCTTTCCAATTCAGCTTGCTGTTGTAGTCTTGAAGTCTATTGTGTTGACATCTAATGTAGATAAGAGACTCTTTTAGAATTTAAACCCTTAAAACATTGTCAGAACTAAAGTGGAAGAAGGAACGTAGTTCTTCCATGTTTGTTTTATGTGTCAGCATCTATAGATTCTGCTTATTATTTTTTCTTTTATTGTTTTATTTTTCGCAGTTAGTCAATACATCCTCAACTAATACTAAGTTGATTTTGTCTTTTAGGAAATTAACCATTTTCTTTCAGTAAGTGCTTACAATCCACTTCCACTGACCAGGCTTGAAGGACTGAAGGATCTTCGAAGACAACTGGAACAACATAAAGATCAGATGCTTGCTCTTATGAGAGCATCTCAGGGTACATTTATCTTTTTTTGAATGGGCATTTTGCATGCTTATGTATGTGTACCACATGACTGCAGTGCCTGTGGAGGCCAGAAGAAGGCTTTAGATTCTCCTGAAACTTGAGTTAACAGATGGTTGTGAGCTGCTATGTGGGTGCTGAGAACTGAACCCCCATCCTCTTGAAGAGCAGCAGTTGCTCATAACAGATGAGCCCTCTCCACAACTGCCTCTGGGTATTAATTTTGACATTATAAATTTTTTTCTTCCTGTTTCTTTCTCAGATATTCTTTTGTATATTCTTCTTGGTCAAATTGCCACCATTGTCATTTATATTCCCATCATTGCAGAGAGGCCGCTGTATGGTGTATGTCTAAATTCTGAATATTGTGTAGTTACAGACTAACAAGGTCTCTTCTAGCTTTTGTGTTTAATGATTCTTATGTTTCTAGTCATTTGTGATTTTGATAAGGTATTGACTTTGCTGTTCAGCTTGTTCAAGACATGTCTGTTATCTGCTTGGTAAATTTGGTAATCATTACCATGTGGCCATATTTCAGAATTCTATGTATTTTTAAAAATCCATTCATGATTTAAAACTCTTTAAAATGTCCTAGTTTGGGGAAGGTGGTGTTATGAAATAAATTTATGTTGTCCTTATGATAATTGAAGCACTTTTCTCTAAACTGTTTCTAGATAACCCACAGGATGGTATTGTGGTGAAGCTGGTTGTCAGCTTATTGCAGTTATCCAAGATGGCAGTGAACCAGACTGGTGAAAGAGAAGTTTTAGGTAATGATTAGGTGAATGGTCTTTAGTATGATCAGAATAAGTATAAGGTTGTCATTTGATATGGAAGAAATAAGGGTGGTTTGCTAAGTTATGTTTCTGTTTAATTCAGGTAACCCCAGATACCTGCCTTTCATATTCCTTAAATTTGCTTATAAAGTTAGCAATAATAATTAATAATAATTAATAGTGTATAGATGTTAATCTTAAAATGTCTTATAAAGATGCAGGAGTATCATTAATCTCTGCTTAGTTAAGTTGCAAATTAACTTCTGAAATATTTTATAAGTCGGGCTTACTGGTATTTAGTGTTTATTTTGTATACAACAAATAGGAACAAAGACTCTGAAGGATGGTTAAACTCAGATTTTTTTTGAAATAGCATTTAAATCTGTTGTTGAGTATAGGTATTTAGATTTGGTGGTCTTAGAATAGAAAGTCACATGATTAGCGTTAGCTGTAAGTTGGCATGGCGGCGGTGCCTTACTGAAAATGGGAAGAGTAAGAGCTATTGGTGCATTTACCAGTGTCCATCTCAGTTCCCAGTGGAGCCTACTGTCTAGCATAGTTAACTTTAGTTTGGTTTTTATTGAGTATATTTTACAGATAGACTTGAATACAGACCACATGTACCTTGTTTAAAGTATTTGTACACAATCACAGAATACCTGTGCATCTACCACCCAGATCCAGAAATTGAACCTTACCAGAACCCTCAAATCTCCCCTGCCCTCAGAATTAACATCTTTGTTCATTGTCCAGCTTCTGGGCACAAAGCTGATTTGCTCCAGGAGCCCAAAGCAGCTTTCTTGTGTAACTCAGGATGATCCTGTTTTTTACCTGTAATACATGCCACACGTCATGGTAATAGAATGAAATCTTTCCATTAATATCAGGAATAAGAAAAGTCACTCCTCTTTACTGCTCATATTCAGCACTATATTGAAGTTCTAGCCAGAGACTCAAGCAAGGAAAAAATTGGATACTGTGCAAAGTGGAAAGGAAGCAAAGTTGCCTATGTTTATAGATAACATGTGTGTTTGAAATTTTTCACTGAATTATATGTGTAAGATTTATGAGTGATATATGTGTGACACCCTGGATTTTCCTGCCTGCCTGCCTGCCTGCCTGCCTGCCTGCCTGCCTGCCTGCCTGCCTGCCTGCCTGCCTTTCTTTCTTTCTTTCTTTCTTTCTTTCTTTCTAAAGGTTTTAAAGTTGATATTTTATACAGTGCCAGACATGTGCTGTTAATACTTGTGCTTTTAATATTCTGTTACTATAACTGTTAACTTATTTTCTTTTATCTCTGGGAAAACATATATTACAGCATTGATGTGTTCTTAGCTTTCTTTACTCCCAGTGTTGGAAAACACTGAAATATCTGAAGCATGACAAAATGGTGTTAATACTTTTTAATTTGGAAATGTTTTATACTCTCCTATTTATGGCTGTACTAAAATTAAGTTTCTGTATGTAGAGGCTGTTGGAAGGTGTTTGGGAGAAATAGGTCCTCTGGATTTCTCTACTATAGCTGTACAGCATAAGAAAGATACATCTTATACGGAAGCTCATGGGTTACCTGAAGATAAAGAACTTCAGTGGACCTTGATAATGCTGACCACCCTGAACAATACACTGGTAGAAAACAGGTGAGTGCTGAAGACTCCTTTCATCCAATTACTTCACTTAACACTTTGTCTTGCAAGTTCATTCTTTTCCTTCCTTTTTACGTTTTTAGATTTCTTTTATGTGCATGAATGTTTGGCCTGCATGTATGTATGTGTACCACGTGCGTGCCTGGTGCCCACGGAGCTCAGAAGAGGGTATTGGATACCCTGGAACTGGAGTTGGATGATAGTGAAACACCATGTGGATGCTGGGAATCTAATCCAGGTCCTCTGCAGGAGCAACGAGTGCTCTTAATCACTGAGACATTTCTTTAGTCTTAGCTTTCAAATTCTTACATTTAAAAAAATCTTGTATATTTTTATGAAATTCCTTTATTAATTTGTGTGATCAAATACCCTTTGTTCCTGACACTTGATGGTGATGAAGAGTAAGGTCTGTTTTAAATAGTAGTCAGACTAAGTTAGACAAAGGATGAATAAGTAAACTGCCAGGTGTTTCCACACAGACAATTAAAATACAGGAATGTATACTAGTGGGATGGCTCAGCAGATAAAAGGCACCTACCATCAAACTTGACAACCTGAGTTTGATCCCCAAAACTCATGGTAAAAGGAGAGAGTCTTTTCCTTAAAGTTGCCTTCTGACCTCCACAAGCATGCTGTGTCATGTACCTTCACCCTTATGAACCTTAAATACAGGAATGTAAAGAACGATATTTTAATTAATTTTTAAAACCAAAGTGCTGTGTTCCTCCAAGCTATTCTTTATTTTAATTCTTTTAGAATAATCCATGGAGCAAAAGCTTTATAACTTCAGATTTAAACTAATAGAATTTTCTATTACTATTTCATTTTTGTTCAAAAAAAATTTTAAGGTACAGTGTTTTAGCTTGTTGGTTGTGAGATTACTTTCTTTTCATTATTAACTTCTTATTTATTGTTGTTGTTACTATTATTATTAAATTGGTTGCAATGCTGGGGACTAAATCGAGGACTGTAAACATCCTTGGTATCACTGAGCCATATTCTCAGCTCCCTCTGTATTTAGTCATTGATATACTGGTTTATTTGTCCACCCCATCATTACCATTGTGAGAGACTTAGTTCAAAGGTTTTCTTCCAGCCAGTCATCTCTTAAAGGTATATATGTATATTGACTTTATTTTTTTCTGCCTCATCTCTTATAACCTACCATGTTTCCATTACTGATTTAATGGACCTGTATTTTTTGTTATTGTTGTATTAAATTGCCTGGCATGGGTTCTTTCCTATCATTTTATTATATAAATTTTTTATATATACAGTAAAGGTGAAAGAATTTTACAGTGAATATCTGTATACTTACTATGAAAATTCTTGCATTAACATTTTCTGCTATATCCTTTTTTAATCATTTTCTCCTATCTACCATCCGCTTTGTTTTTTTTTTTTTTTTTGGTTTTTCGAGACAGGGTTTTTCTGTGGCTTTGGAGGCTGTCCTGGAACTAGCTCTTGTCAACCAGGCTGGTCTCGAACTCACAGAGATCCCCCTGCCTCTGCCTCCCGAGTGCTGGGATTAAAGGTGTGTGCCACCACCACCCGGCCCTCTCTCTTGTCTTTTTTGAGACAGAATCTCATATAGTTCAGGCTGGCCTTTTACTTTATATAGTTGAGGGTGATCTTGAACTCCTGATCCTCCTCCTTCTGCCCTTTACCTCCTAAGTGCCAGGATTGCAGTATGTGCTACTGACTTAATCCATCCTGACCTTTTGTTTTTGTGTTTTGAGACAGTGTTTTTCTGTGTAGCCTTAGCTGTCCTGGGACTTGCTCTGTAGACCAGGCTGGCCTCGAACTAAGAGATTTTCCTGCCTCTGCCTCCTGAGTTCTGGGATTAAAGGCATGCACTATCATCACCTCCTGGCTCCATCTAGCTATTTTTGAAGTGATTTTATGCAGAAAATTTATTCATAAAATAATTTGATACACACTAATCTCAACTTTTTAAAATGATGTACAGACTATTAGTGTGACATGAGCATGAAAATAATAGGCAACAGACAAGAATTGTTTTCTATTTTACTGTTGAAGAGGAAAAAGCATTAGGTGTTTAAGGGTTTCAGCCTACAAAGGTGATTTGACTAAGGAAATAACCACAAAACCTGTTGATAAAAGACTTCTTTGAGGAAGTGTCATGAGATCTGAGTGATGATAAATTAACTTGGGATAATCAGGAGTAAAGCATTCCACACAGGGATGATAGAGTAAGATCTTCTTATTTATATTTTTTAATGTAGTTATAGGATGAATTTATATATAGTAAAATTTTTATATAAGGTGGTATTGTAGTACATCATACATAACTGGCTTTTATATGACAAATCGATGACTATTCTAGTTTGCTTCTATTGCTGTGATAAATACCATGGCCAAAAGTTAATTGATGGAGGAAAGTGTTTGTTTCATCTTACAGCTTACAGTCTTCTTGTGACAGGAAGTCAGGGTGGGAACTCAAGAAGGCAGGAACTAGAGCAGAGCTCACGGATGAATGCTACATACTGGCTTACTCTCTGGATCAGCTACCTTTGTTATATCTATTAGGATCACCTGTCCAGGGGTAATACTACCTTCAGTGGCCTGGGTCTTCCCACATCAATCATTAATTAAGACAATGTCCCCCAGACTTCTCTGTAGGCCAATCTGATGGAGGCATCTCAGATAACTCAAGTTTGTATCAAGTTGTTAAAAAAAAGAAAAGAAAAACTAACCAGCACAGTGACTCAAGGGCAAAAGTAGAAACAGGATTTGGCTATGAAATTATTGCTATGGTACAGAGGAGAAAAATTATAAAATGAATTAGGAGATCAGTAATGAACATGAGGGGAATGATGGAACCAGGATATGTTGGTTTTTTTTTTTTTTTTTTTTTTTTTTTACATAGTCAATAGGATTTACTAATTAGATGTGGGTAATTAACAAAACATACCTGGACAGAATTAAAACTTCCTTTGATGCCTTGTCATTATTCCAATCTCGGGCCTGGTAACATTTTTTGTTAGTTACCATATTTTCAGGACTGTTGTAGCCTTCTATTTCCTGGGGTGTTTTTCTTTTAAAAGAAGGAATTTTGCTTTTCACTCAGAGGTTTTAAGTGCTAATGATTTTCAGCTAACTGCTTTGTCAGAATAAGTATATACCTTCAAAATTATTTGCAATAATTTTATCGTTTGGGGTAAGATATCATTGTGTTTCACCTCACATATAATTTGTGGCACTAGAAAAAGACTATCAATGTTTCCTTAGGTAAATTCGGATTTTGCCATTTTTCACTAATCATATTTATTAGACTACATTATTTCCTAGTAGTTCCTCTTAAGAATTTTTAAAATTATTTTATTTTGTGTTTTGCCTGCATGAATGAATGTCTTTATGAGGGTATTGGATCCCCTAGAGCAAGAGTTATGGACAGTTGTGAGTGGCCATGTGGGTGCTGGGAATAGAACCCAGGTCCTCTGGGAGAGCAGTCAGTGCTCTTAACCACTGAACCATCTTTCCAGCCCCCTCTTAAGAATTCTTTAAATTTATTGTCAGGGTAACATAGTCATTATTGTATAGAATGAAGAGGATTGCTGCTGAAGTGACCAGTAACTCATGTTTACTGAGGGAATATTTTTAAAATCTTTGGTTGTTTTCTTCAGTGATTGTAGGTGGAGATTTTCTGTTCTGGGAACTGCTTCCAAATTATCACATGGAAATTTACATTAATTGTAAATGCTAGGCCAATAGCTTAGGCTTGTTACTAGCTAACTCTTAGGTTTTAAATTAACCCATATTCCTTATCTATGCTTTACCATGTGGCTTTTGATTTTCTACAACTCCAGCTTCTTTGGTGTCTGCTGGCTGGTGTCTCTCAGCCATTTTTCATCCCAGCATTCTCTCTGTTTTAGGCCGTCTTGCCCAATCTCTTCCTGTCCAGCTATTGGCTAATTAGCTTTATATCAACAATGAGAGCAATATGTATATTTACAGTGTACAAAAGAATTATTCCACAGTAAATGTTACAGAATTTTACAGATAGGAAGTTTCTAATATTTTAAATTTTCCAGTGGAATTTGCATAGCATTCCAGATTGATAAATTGTGTCTGTTTTTCAGTGTCAAAATTCGATCAGCTGCTGCTACCTGTTTGAAAAACATTTTGGCTACAAAGACTGGACACAGTTTCTGGGAGACTTATAAGATGTCTGAGGATCCCATGCTGACCTATCTACAACCTTTTAGAACATCAAGGAAAAAGGTCTCTTTAACAAATGTTTGTTGAATACCTATTATGTGTAAAGTGGTTACATTTTTTTGGGACCAGGAATAATCAAATAGCTTAGAATAGTTATGTACTAATATACTGTTGGCTAGAAAAATTCAACTTGCACATACTGAATTCAGAGGATTTGTTATTTTTCACTATTCAAGATAGAAAAGTTGAAATAGATAACCTAGAGAAGTGGTGATTTGGGGCTAAGGGAATCTCTTTTCCAGTATAGCAGACCTTTTGATCCCATGCACCATCAATCCTAGATGATTTTAGGTGTTATGGTCAGCCAGCAAGCATATTTCGTAGCACAATTTGGATAGAGTATAAGAGGATTTTAAGTACCTTTCCTGCATGTTAATGCCATGATTCCTCTGAAAGCAGCCCAAAGTATTGTTAAGAACTTTTGTATGGCTTGTCTCTTAGCATTCCTCTTTTCAGAAAGTGACAGCAAAATGCATTTGTTTTTACCTGTTTTAAGTTTAATGGAAATAGCCATCATTAAAGTAGTAATTTTAATGTATCATAGCTTGGCTCTTAGTAAAATTAGTAGTAATAAAAACTGTTAATGAAGTCACTAACATAGCTAGTGTAAAGTTTTGTATTTTTACCATGTAAAAATCACATTTTATTTTTGAAATCAATTTTTGTGGTAGATGGGAACAGTTTTGTACATGAGCCAGATGAGGCAGAGGTTGTGACTTGTATTACATGCTACCAGTGAGTGACAGAAATAACAGTAGAACTCAGGTTTTTCCCTTCCTACACCAGTAATATTTTTACAGTTTCACTCCCCAAGTTCAAATTTCCCCATCCCTTGGCCAGGCAGTGGTTTTGCACGCCTTTTATCCCAGCACTCAGGAGGCAGAGACAGACAGATCTCTGTGAGTCCAAGGCCAGCCTAGTCTACAGAGTGAGTTTCAGGACAGCCAGGGCTACACAGAGAAACCTTGTCTCGAAAAACCAATAAACAAATAAGTAAATAAATTCTCCCTATCGGACATGTGTGTTCCCCTCATTTAATTTTGTAGCAGGGATTGAATTTATTAATGCCTTGAGTTTGACCACTGACCTATACCCCGGCTCTATTTTACTTTTATTTTGAGACGGGATTTCACTAGGATACCAAGCAGGCTTTGAACTTAAAATCCTCCTACTTCAGCTTCTGAATAGTTGAGATTACAGGCCTGAACCACCATTCCAGTCTAATATGTTTAACTTTTAAAAGGCAAATATTCTATCCAGATATAATTCTTTTATTAAAATTTTTTTCATTTGTGTGTTTATGTGTATAGACTTGTGTCGTGTCCCTCATATACAAGTAAGAGAACAACTTGCAGAGTCAGTTCTCTCCTTATACAATGTAGGTTCTGGAGTCAGACTTAGGTCAGTGAGGGTTGATGGCAAGTACCTTTACTTCATGACCCATATGGTGGGTCCCAGGTATAGTTTTATTGGAAACAGATTTAACTGCATGGATATTTATTTGACATAGGAAATGATTTCTACTTCTAGTTTTTAGAAGTACCCCGATTTGTTAAAGAAGATGCCTTTGAAGGCCTGGATGATGTGAATCTGTGGGTCCCTCAAAGTGAAAGTCATGACATTTGGATAAAGGCACTGACATGTGCCTTTTTGGACAGTGGAGGCATAAAAAGTGAAGTTCTTCAGTTATTAAAGCCAATGTGTGAGGTAAGAGGATTAATTAATCTGACATAGAGCCTGTGTTTTTGTTCTTTTTTTTTCCATTCAGTTTAACATCTGTGTATCTGATTGTGATTTGCATGTTTGAAAAGAATCCTAAGTGATGATTGTCTCATCTGCCTGAGTGTAATCCACATTCAGCTGGTATAAATCCAATAAAGTAGGTATCTTTGGTTAGCCAGAACTACATGTCAGCCTTTAGTTTTGAGTTGGTAATATACTAGTTAAGTTCTACAACGTCCTAGAAAAATTAGTAATGATACTTACTGTCAGTCGGCATTCTTCAGCATGCTTTCTGAGTGAAGAAAGATAGACATCAGTAGTCAAGAGTTTTACATTGGAAGGTCTGGTATAGTCGATTTCAGCAAATAGTGTTTGAACCAATTCAAAGAGCTAATAGTGTTTGTGGTCAAAGGCTGTGGCTCGCTGGGTGAGTATATACCTCTAATGTGGTAGGAACAGGAGTCAGTCGTGGTGTTTTGTTGGTTGGTTATTGTTTCATTTTGAGATAGGGTCCAGTTTGTAACCCAGTGATGACTTTGAATTACTGTTCCTGCTGCCACCATCTCCCAAGTCCTGAGATAACTTGCTTGATGTTACTGTTCCTTTACTTATTTTTTATTCTAAACACTACTTGATACATAATTTTGGTGATGGTGTTTGTTATTTAGTACTGTGTTGAATTCATGGGAGATCAATGTAGTATTTTTAAAATTTTCATGTGTCAGTAACAGGGACTAAACATTTTAAGTGAATTATGTTACTCTAGTACAAGCAGTTGAATGGATGTGTACTGTGTTCTAGGTGAAACCTGACTTCTGTCAGACTGTGCTGCCATATTTGATCCATGATGTCCTACTCCAAAATACACATGAATCATGGAGAACTCTGCTGTCTACACATGTCCGAGGATTTTTCACTAGCTGTTTTAAACACTTTTCACAGGCAAGCCGATCAGCAACTCCTGCAAATTCAGATTCAGGTATTTCGATTAATCGTTAATATTTATAATTTTAACTTCTCAGCTCTAGAGAAAGATGGTTCAGTACTGTACATTCTGTATATCTGGCATTGTGCTTACAGTGTGGTTGTGAACAACAGAGCTCCCACTTTAGAAATGGCAAAAAAAAAAAAAAAAAAAACCACAAAAAACCACGTAAACTCTTCCACGTTTGACACCATGGCAGAAGTATGATAGAGTTTTTGTATTTTTAGACCTCTGGCCAACAGCTTTTCAACTCTTTTATCTTTTTTTCTGTTTTGATTTTCCAAGACAGGGTTTCTCTGTGCAGCCCTGGCTGTCCTGGAACTCACTCTGTAGATCAGGCTGGCCTCAAACTCACAGAGGTCTGCCTGTCTCTGCCTCCCAAGTGCTGGGATTAAAGGTGTGAGCCACCCCCGCCTGGCTTTTTTAAAAACTTTCTATCACCAGATCTTGCATATTTTTATAGACAATAAAAGTTCTGCAAGTTTTTTTAAAAAATAAGTCCCCCCCCCAAAAAAATTAAACTACCCACAATCATGTAATCTAAGATATTTACATTTGGATTCATATGTACATAAATACAAATTTGTATATTTCTATTTGTTTACATTTGGGATATATCCTTGTAATTTTATTTTTATGATAAGTATTTCTGGGCTTGGAATACTCTTAAGCAGTATATCTGATCTGTGCTATCATTTTGCTTCTGAATGACGTTTCCTTGACACTTTTCAAAAAAAAAAAAACAAATAAATCAAAACAGCGTTTCTGATGCTGTTTATAAACAAAAGAAGAAATTACACTAAGTGGGGTAGGGAAGTGGCTCAGGAGGTAAAGTGCTTTCAAAGACTGGAGTTTAGATCCCCAGCACCCATATAAAAGACAGGTGAATGTGATATCCCCCTGCTCGGCTCGCTTGACCAGAGGTGGCTATGGGTGAGGGATCCCTAGAGCAAGCTCGATGGCTGAGCTAGCCAGCATAGTGAGCTCTGGCTTTGAGAGACCTTGCTGTTACACACACATACACACACGAATAATCAAGAAAGATTCTCAGTATCACCCTCTGACCTCCACACATATGCAAAGAAAGAGAAATTACATTTGAGTTTAAGTAAACATACTACATGTAACACATATAAACACAATTGAGGGTTCATTATGAATCATTTCTTCAAGCTGAAATTTCAAAATGGTAAGAAAACAGTTCTATAGTATTAATTTACTGTGTTTAATATACATAAGCATAAAACTAGGCACAAATTCACATACTGCATTTTAAGAAATACCATATGAATAACCCCACCTTAGTGTGTTTATAGTCATTTCAGCATAATTGTGAGTATTCAGTTTCCCTGTTTCTCTGTTTTTACTATGACAGGCTATGTTTGAAATGTTTGGTGTACTTTAGACTTCATTTTGCTGTTTTTATGTATTTGAGTGATATGTTTCATTTAAGTTTAGAGAGGCTAGGGAGAGTTGACAAAAGGCTACTAAGTTACAGTTATGTAGGAGTAAGATGATCTGATGTTCTACAGCAAAGTGGGGTGACTGTTGATTATGATAATATATTGTGTATAAAACAAGCAGACAAGCTTTGGGGTGTTGGAAAGTACATAACCCGAGTTTGATTCTCAGCACTGCATTGGGTGGCTCACCTGTAACTCCAGTTCAGTAGGGACCTGACACTTCTCTCCGCCATGGACACTTGCACTCATGTGCACATACCTACACACGCATTTTTTAAAATCTTTCTAATATATATATATATATATATATATATATATATATATATATATAATTAAAACATTATAAAATGCATACTTGTATTGAAAAATCAAGTATCCCATTAATATGTATGATTTCAGTTAAAAATTTTAAAAAATAACTTATGTTCTATCTGAAAGAACATAAATATAAACATACACCTGGTTGCTTCTCCTGTGGCCTTATTAGATTAGAAGTTGTTTGTCAAAATGATCTGGAATATGCCTATGAAACGTTGGGGGATTACCGAATTAAAAATCCTAAACTATTGGTTGATGTGATGGTTTTCATGGGTAAGGGTGTTTGTCACCAAAATGTGATAATCTGAGTTTAGTCTTCAGAAACCCACATAGTAGAAGCAGAGACCCAACCTGCACAAGCTGAACTCTGACCTCCATACTTGCTCCCTGCCTGAGTGCCCACATGCATAATAATTATTATAATTAAGTCTGTTTTAAAAAAATAATTAAATGTAATGTAAAAAACCCTAAAATAAAAATTCTAGCAGAGACTTTGCTAGCTATCTAAAATATATCACTTATGTTTAATTGGGGAAATACAAATATAAGTGATCATAGGTATAGTTTTATCTCTAGAGAGTGTCAACATTTCTTATTACCTTAAATGAAATTTTGGACTTCACTTATATAATTATTGAAAATGACAATAGCCGGGCATTGGTGGCACACGCCTTTAATCCCAGTATTTAGGACGAAGAGGCAGGTGGATCTCTGTGAGTTCAAGACCAGCCTGGTCTACAAGAGCTAGTTCCAGGACAGCCTCCAAAGCCACAGAGAAACCCTGCCTCGGGAAAAAAAAAAGAAAAAAAAAGACAGTAAATGTAGATTCCTAGAAATCTTAAATGCTGTGTCTTTCTGGTGTCTGGAAGTCTCACACCTTTACTTGAATGTCTCACACGAACCTCAGATTCAGTTATGTAAGCAAGCATAAGTGGTGCTTTGCTGCCCACAGTAAAACCTTTCTCACCCATCTGAATACCAAGTCTTGCCAGTTCTGTTTCCTCAGTTGCCATTATCCTTCCTGCTTTCTAGCTCTGGTGTAGCAGGCTGAGCATCTCTGACTACCTTCTGAATTCAGCTTGTTACTAGCCACCTCATATACACATTTTTTGGTGTGTGTTTTTTGTTTTGTTTTATTTTGTTTTTTTGAGACAGTAACTCATATTGTCCTCATGTAGCAGTGGAAGATTGAACTGCTAATTTTTCTGCTTTTGCTTCTCTAGTACTGGCATTAGAGACACGTGCCCTGACACCCAGTTTATACAGTGCTGGGGATTGAGCTCAGGGTTTCATGCAGATTAGCCAAGTACTCTTACCATTGGACTATGCTGAATTTCCCTGGTACTCTGTCCTTTCTCTTCCCCCCCCGCTGACCATTATTTTGACTTCCGATGTTACTTTCTTCTTCCAGCTTTTGTTAGTCCAGGTGAGGTCACTCTCACGTAACTTCTCCAGCATTCATAACCTTTCTCTCACTCCACGTGGCTCACCATGTTAAGAGCCTTCAGGCTAGTCAATGAATTCTGTGTGCAGAAACAGTCTTAATTTGTTCATGGTTGTAAATGTACTAAGCACCCAGCACATAAAACATCCCAGTCATCTCAAAGCAGTAAGTAGGTACTGTTTCAGAAACAAATTATAATTGGCAACATAAATTCTGATTTATATTATGCATATATGCTTCTTTTGAAATAAAAGGAATGCCACTAAGTTACGTTGATTTTAATTTATTAAGAAGCATTTTTTGTGTTGGGTATACCACCAATTAGAATCTTACAGTGTAGAAAGAGAAGGGCACAAAGTACTTTTACATCAGTCCGAGACTAAGAAGAGCTATTTCTGTTTTTGTTAGAGCCAGAGCACTTCCTCAGATGCTGTTTGGATAAAAATTCACAAAGAACAATGCTTGCTGTTGTCGACTATATGAGAAGGCAGAAGAGGTAATATGGTAACAGTTCTTTCTCAGGTTGGGAACCGAGCACTATACCTTCCCTTCTGGGTGCCCTTTATAGCCTGATTGTTTTATTTGCAACTGCTTCAGACTGCTAAAATCAATTGATATGATACTTCTATTCCTTTTTAATAATCTGTATACAGGACAGCATTTAGGTTATGAGTGGGGAGCTGTTGGTTCTTGTCCCAGCTGTCCCAGCAGGCATACTGCTGATACTGCTGTGGCTAAATCATGTGTCTATGAAGATGTGGGAAAGGAATGTATCATTTTCCCAGATTGCTCTCAGCACTGTTGCTGTTCACTAAGTCGTTCTTTGAGTAGGTAGAGTTGGATGTCTTTTTTGTTTGTTTTTTGAGACAGGGTTTCTCTGTGGCTTTGGAGGCTGTCCTGGAACTAGCTTTTGTAGACCAGGCTAGTATCGAACTCACAGAGATCTGCCTGCCTCTGCATCCTGGCCGATGTCTTCTTTATCATCTTTTTTACAAGGTAAAGCTTTTGTTGCTGTGTGCCATACTTATCATGAAAATCTGTAGTATTTTTGTGATATGACAGAATTGATTTAGGAAAGTTACTTTACAGTATAGTGTCCTTGTTTCTGTTGTTATTTTTTTTAACTTTCTTTTAATTTATTCTTTGTGTCTTTCACATCATGCATCTCAATCCTATGCATTTCCCCACTCCCTTCATAGCCGCCCTCTACCCTTGCAAACTTCTAATGCCCCCAAAATAGATAAATTTAAGAGAAAAAAGGAAAACTCAATCTCGTCATGGAAGCTGTAGTGTGACATAGTGAGTCACACAGTAAACCCTTTTATCCATATATCTTTATTGCAAGTGTTCATTGTAAAAATTCATTGGTCTGTTTCAAGGCCTCTGGTTTCTGCTACACTATTGATACTCGGCCCTTCCTGGTACTCCTTTTGGATATCCTGTCCTTGACCTTTGTTGTGGAGATCCTGCAGCCTTGGGTCTACAGGACCAGCCTCTTCACGTGCCCCAGCAGATTGTAGCTGGGATGGATGTTGGGGTCAGCCAACTCTTAACCCTGCTTCTGGGCCTGGGTAGTTGCAGGATCGGTCAGTTCCCCAGCTCTCCCCTGTCTTCATCACCAAGTGAGCTCTCCAGCATTGCTCTGAATAGTTCATCCCTTGTAGTAATGAGCAAGGGGCAGGATCAGTTCTGCTTTCACACCCTCGGGGTTGGCTCTCCCACACCTGCACCATCAGGGTGAGCTCCACTGTGTTGTGCATGTCAAGTGTTGGACCCGCTCCTGAGTACTTTTCAGGTGAGGGCCGGACCAGTTCTCCCTAGTGTTGCAGCCAATAGGGGAGAGGCAGGGTCAACTCGGCATAGCCCTATCCTCTAGGCTTCCTGGTATCAAGAGCCACAGACATGGGCTGCATCAGGGCCATGAACTCAGACATGGGCCCGGCAGCAGCGTAGGCCCAGACATCAACATGGCTCTTGGTGGCAATCAGGCTACCACCTCAACTTTCTCACTACTTTCACTTCTTCAGATATGTGAACTGTCCCACCAGCCAGCCCCTAAATAATGACACAGAGACTTACTGTTAATTATGAAAGCTTGGTTCTTAGGTTAGGTTTGTTTTTAACTAGCTCTTATAACTTAAATTAACCCATATTTTTATTAATCTGTGTTCTACCATATGGCTTTTACCTCTATCCCATTCTGTGTAACCAACTCATTCTGAGTCTCCCTGACATTTCTAGCACCTAGATTTATCTCCTACTTCCTCTCTCTACCTGGAAGCCCCACCTATATACATATTTCCTAACTATCTATTGGCCTTTCAGCTTTTTATTAAGCCAATCACAGCAATATATCTTCACACAGTGTATAAATATCCCATAACCCCACAACACAGATATGCCTCTGTCCACAGGACATGAGCCATTTTGTGTCTTTCTCCCATATCATACCAAAAATTTGCTCACCATAATAATGGGCTGGCTCATGCTTTCTCCTTGGAGTCTGGGCATCCCCCACCCAGCCACCCACCTTGGGTCTTCTTGTCCTGCTCAGTCAGTCATGGTGCTGGGTCTATTGTTAGTTTTTGAGACCAGGTCATGTGTAGCCTAAGGTAGCCTTAAATTCACCATGTAGCTCATCATGGCCTTGAATTCCTGATCTTCCTCCACTTTGAGTGCTGGGTGTGTACCATTGCCCCAGGCAGTTAAAAATCAATGGATTTTTAACAAAGCACAGAAATTGCTCAAAATACCACAATGGACAGTGCAGCTGATGTGTACTGCTAGAGAGTTACCAGAACTTTGAAGAAAACATTGCTTTAGGTCTTGACTCAGTATGGTCCAGTCCACCTTACAATATTTCAACTTTTACATTCAGAGGAAGCTGGACGTTGAATCTTGGTCATGTTCACTGATGGCAATGCAGAAAAAGAAAAAAAATCTTTAAAAATTACTCAAGAAGATGTGACTCGGGCAGGACCAAATTCAACTTAAGTAATTTGTTAAAAGCTATGTAGTCTGAGCATGTTACCTGATGTTCTCTCATTCTTAAAAATCAGGATAACCTAGGAGGCTAGAGAGATATGGCTCAGTGGTTAAGAGCACTGAATGCACCAGGCAGTGGTGGCTCATGCCTTTAGTCCCAGCACTCAGGAGGCAGAGGCAGGTGGATCTCTGTGAGTTCGAAACCAGCCTGGTCTACAAGAGCTAGTTCCAGGATAGCCTCCAAAGCCACAGAGAAACCCTGTCTTAGGGGAAAAAAAAAAAAAAAAAGAGCACTGACTGCTCTTCCAGAGGACCCAGGTTCAAATCCCAGCATCCACATAGCAGTTTAAAAGCTGTAACTCCTGTTCCAGGGGATCTGACACCTTCATACCAATGCACACAAAATAAATAAATAAAATTTTAAAATCAGGATAAGGGAAAAGGCATGTTGATTTGAACCTTTAGCCCCAGGCGGGACCAGGAGTATCTCATGAATTCCAAGACAGCCAAGACTATATAGTGAGCCCCTCTCAAATAAATATCAGTATAAGGTCTACTTTAAGGATAGGGTATATGGTAATCAAAATTAATAAATGTACAACTTTTACTTCTCTGAACTTGAATTTCCTCAGAAGTAGTTATTTAGTTATTATGCTAAAGTGCTGACTATATAGAAGATGTGGTATGTACTGTTCTAGTATTTGCAGATGGGACTAGAACTGACTACATTAAGTTGCTACAGATACAGGTAGTCATAGGTGGAAAAACTGACTTTGTACTTAGCTGTATACTACTTCAGAGCCAGTATTCTTAACAACTATGTTGTCTTATGTATATCATGTTAGCTTTGAAAAAGATAATACCTATAGTTTCCAGTTCTGAACTGTCATTACCACAGTGAACATTTTTTTATTAAGTAGTTTAATGTTAGATAATAGGAGCAAATAATCGCAACAGAAAAGACTTTTCTCATCACTGACAAAATATCCAACAAAAGCTGCTTAAGGAAGGAAGTGTCTCTTTTGGCTTCTAGTTTGAGGTGTACATTTGATTGTGTTGGAGAAAGGCATGTGGCAACAGCAGAAGACAGCTGATAGCTTTTTGCCCATTTTTGGGAAGCAGAGAGCCATTCTTTCTATATCCTTTTTATTCAGCACAGGATCTGAGTTCATGAAGTGATGCTACCCACATTTAGGGTAGGTCTTCACACATTAGTTAGCTTAGGCTAGAAATCTGTGACAAGACATGCCCAGAAGTTTGTGTCCATGGTCTTTCTAAATCCCATCATGTTGGCAATCAGAATTAACCCATCACATTTTTTTTCCTACCTGGGAAGAAACAATGCTTTTATACTACAAGTGACTATGAAGCCGTCTTTTGCAGGTGATGATGTAAATTATGGTTGTAGAGCTCAGATTAGTACTGAGTGAGAATTAGTAGCTTCCCGCTGATTCTCTGAGAGGTTTATGAGCCAAGACGTTTGAGAACTGGACTTTAGCCAGGCTATCTCAGAATGGTGTGTAATCATTCATAGAGAATTATGGCTTGCAGTTACATCCTGTACCATTGTGCTGCTTGTGTTAGCAGTGACATGGCATCGTGTTTAATTCCTCTTCAGGCCTTCTTCAGGAACAGCTTTTGATGATGCTTTCTGGCTGGATTTGAATTATCTGGAGGTTGCAAAGGTGGCTCAGTCTTGTGCTGCTCACTTCACGGCATTGCTCTACGTAGAGATCTACTCAGATAAGAAAAGCATGGATGAGCAAGAGAAAAGGTAATAGGTTTTGACAAATTAGTGTTGATATTGTTTCAATAAAAATATATAGTAAAGATTTAATTTTGTCCCATTTCTCCACTTAAAAGACACTTTAGGCATAAATTTTCTGTATCAAAGCAAAGTAATAAAATTTTTAAAGAAGTAATCCTTTGAAAAATAGGAATTCCAGTCATGTGATATTCTATTTTATAAAGGCTGGACAACTAGGAAGCTTCTAAATAGAGATTACTTGATTGTTTGTGTATAACAGCTAGCATTGGGAACATAAATGTTCCATAAGTGTTTTCATGATTAAGTGATTTCCTAATTTTGGTTACACTAGATTTACCTCTAAGTCCTTCAACCTTTAGGATTCATTATTCTTTTTGACTGTAATGTGACTAATTCCTGTCTGTCACTAAATAAGTTTCATTTATGTGTTGTCTGCTTATATTTCTAGGTACTTTGATTTGATTTCCTCTGATTGAGTTAGATTTTTTTTTTTTTTTTCTTTTTTGGTTTTTCAAAACAGGGTTTCTCTGTGTAGCTTTGGAGCCTATCCTGGCACTCACTCTGGAGACCAGGCTGGCCACGAACTCACAGAGATCTGCCTGCCTAAGTCTTCTGTGAATATAAATAAAAGCATCTTATATTATTTGAAAGTCAGCCATTGTCTGAATGGAACAAACTCATGCAGAGCTGCTTGCCTTCAAGCAGGTGTGTCTACATTTGCTTTGACCGTTTCTTCTGGGGTCATTGTTTTCCCCAGAGATGTGATGAGAAAGGGAGGACAGACAGATTAGGTGTGCAGAAATGAGAAGTGCAGGAGTTCACAGTGACTCTGGTAGAGGAGCAGACCTGGAGAACTAGGCAGTAAGCTTAGTGCATTTGTAACTAGAATACAGAGAAGCAGTTTCCCTGTGTTGTCAAGTAAATAAGTCACTCATTTTCTATTCAGATTGTTTAATTCTTCTTAATAGATATTTGAGATCCATGTATTTTGTTGTTGTTGTTGTTGTTAGCATGCTCCTGAGAAACTGAAACTTCAATGTTAGTTTCCTTAATCTGTTTTAAGACAAAGTCAGTCAGAAGACTTTATTAACAAGATTTAGACAGCAGATATTTACAACTTCAGTCATCTTAATATTCCAAATTCCTAATGATGCCTGACAGAAGTACAGTCTAAATGAATTTGAGCTTTGTTTTATTTTATTTTATTATGTTTTTGAGACAGATAGTCCTAGCCAATGTGGAACTCAGTGTTTACCAGGCTGACCTCAAAAGTAAAGATCTCCCTGCCTCTACCCTGAAGTGCTGAATTAAAGCAGGAGCCACCACACCTAGTGAATTGTGTCTCTAGATTGCAGTGTCAGCCCACTAATAGTGTCTTCATCTTTCTGAATGTTTCCATTAACAATGAACATATTTTGCATAATTTGGAAATAAGTAGGATATATGTCATATCTATACCTCAAGGTTACAAAGCAAAGTAGGATGTTGTCGGCAACATTCTGTTACTTGTTGCTCCTCTGTGCCCGTCTCCTGAGCTCCGTCCAAGAGATAAAGGTGATGAGTATGTTTACCATTCCTCAAGTCTAATTATTTCTTTTGTCAATATTAGTATGAATCTACAGCTTAGTAACTCCCTACTTTTGAGTTTTATAAGGATTTTATATGCCATTTTTTCACCTGGGTTTTTAATAAGACATCTATGCTGCTTATTGCTGCCAGCTTTAGTTTATGACTGACTGCCCAAGGTGCACTGAGAGGAGATGCCACAATTTGTTACCTGTTCTGTCAGTGACATATACTGCACTGGTTGAACTATTGGTATATAAGATAATGCCAAATTATTTCTTAAAATGATTGTACCAGTTTGTATAGTTACCAAAAGAGTAACTGATTAAAAATTAAAAAAAAAAAGTGCCACATTGAAGGAACAAAGTATATAACCTTTTCTAGTTTAAGGGAAAATAGTATAGAAAACACAGGACATATTTTAAAAAGATATTAGAGGAACTATCACTTATGGCAGTATTTATTTATATATTGGATTATTATAGACCCTGTAACAATCATAATATTAAATTTGAGTCACTTACCAAACTATTACACCCATATATTAAATGCTTAATTAAAGGTAAGGTCTTAGAGTGGATAAATCTGAGTTCTAGTCCCATTATTTACTATTTTTATAACCTCAGATTTCAGTGGATCCCACTTTTTTAATTTATTTTTTATTACATATAGTGTTCTGTTTGCATATGTACCTGCATGCCAGACATGGTCACCAGACCTCATTATAGATGGTTGTGAGCACCACATGGTTGCTGGGAATTGAACTCAGGACCTATGAAAGAGCAGCCAGTGCTCTTAACCACTGAGCCATCTCTCCAGTCCCCCACTTAACTTTTATCAGATTTCTTTTTTTAGTTTATTGGAGGTTAAATCGTGTTTTGTGGTCTTGCCATGTAATCTGCAATTATCAAGTTGAACTTTAGATAAGACCACTGACAGCCAGGCATTGGCGCACACCTTTAATCCCAGGACTCGGGAAGCAGAGGCAGGCCGATCTCTGTGAGTTCAAGGCCAGTCTGGTCTCCAGAGCGAGTGCCAGAATAGGCTCCAAAAAAACCAACCCCCCCCCCAAAAAAAAGACCACTGATAGAATATTTAGAATCAAATTGGGAAACTTCTGCTCTATTTTAAATAGGCCTGTTTCTATATAAATAAGCGTGTTTGGCATGTAACTTTGCCATTTACACAATATTGTTACTATATGTAATTTTCAAGTTTCTTTCCCATGCCAGGTTTAAATGATATTCTGTGTTAAAATATAAATGGTTCACTGTTCTTTTTGCAACTATAATTAGTTTCTGTTGAAGTGTAGAATAAATATGTTCATAACCTCTTAGTATATTTTCATTAAAAGAGATGTTCTTATGGTAAACAGAAGTCCAACATTTGAAGAAGGAAGTCAAGGTACAACTATTTCTAGTTTGAGTGAAAAAAGTAAAGAAGAAACTGGAATAAGCTTACAGGTAAATATTAAATAATCTGTAATGATTTTTATGTGATACGTTGGATTTTTTATAGTGATGTAATTGATTTTAAAATTGAAGCTACTTACTGGGCTGAGCATCATATAATGTGTGCAAATGCTATGTATGTATGTATGTGTGTATTCCAATCTTGACCTGCCACTGCTTACATAATACGCATAAATAACTGGACCTTTCTGACTTTGAACGTCTTAAATGAAAGACTGAAATGAAACCACAGGGCAAATTTATACCACATAGTTTTTACCATTGTTTCCTTCTATTTCATTTATAGTATTTGTAAGTTACTAACTTTTGTATGTATGCATATGTCACCAAGTAGCAACTTCATTTATATGTTTCTAAGTACTGTCTCAATGTACTTTATAGCACTGTTCAGCATTCTTGAATCTCTTTGGCCAGCTCACTCTTCTACAGTGGCCATTTGAACCTCTCTGCTTTGATTCAACTTCTGAACTTCACTTTTTTTCTATTTGTCTTCAGCTTGCCTTCTGCTTCTTGGAGAGAGTAGTTGATGTCTCAGTTACTTTTCTATTGTTGTGGTAAGAAACCATGACGAGGCAACTTATAAAAGAAAGTGTTTAATTTGGGGATTATGGTTTTAGAGGGTTATAGTCCATAATGGCAGAGCAAGGCATGACAGACAGACAGACAGACAGACAGACAGACAGACAGACAGACAGACAGACAGACAGACAGTGGGGCACATTCAGTGACACATTTCCTCCATAAGGCTGTACCTCCCAATCCTTCTCATACTTTTCCAACTGGGAACCAAGTATTCTAATATGAGCCTATGGGGGGGGCATTCTTAGTCAAACCCCCATATAGGTAGGAATCCCCTCAACATCCCACAGTCGGAGTTGAATCTCCCCACATGTGCCCTTGTCATAACCATCTCTCATTACAACAGAAAAACACTTTCCTTTTACCTCAAGTTATTTATCTGTTCCTTCTTAGAAACTTTGATATGCTGTGCTCCTTCAGAACTGTATCATAAACATTTCAGAACTTTACTGTTTAAAACATTTCTGTTCTTGAGCCGGGCGTTGGTGGCGCACGCCTTTAATCCCAGCACTCAGGAGGCAGAGGCAGGCGGATCTCTGTGAGTTCGAGACCAGCCTGGTCTACAAGAGCTAGTTCCAGGGCAGCCTCCAAAGCCACAGAGAAAACCGGGCTCGAAAAAAACAAAAAAAAAAAAAAAAAAAAAAAAAAAAAAAAAAAATCTGTTCTTGGAGATGGAAGGAGCTTCTTTCTTCCTATGTTCTCTTTAGGTGTCTCTGTCTTTCCTTTCACAGCCAGACTTTGTGATGATTGTATTTGTTCTCTTCATTTCTTTCCTTCATTCCATTAAAATGGCACCTGTCTAACGTTTTCCATGAACTAGAAATTGCTAAGTCTGCTTGTTACCTTTCACTTCTTTCTCCTTAACATTCATCTTCACATTTGGCCATATTGGGTTCGTGTGTGTGCTGGTTAATCAAAAGCTCTAGAGATCTACTTGTCTGCCTCCCAAGAGCTACACAGATGCTTGCAGCTGCTCTGAGGTTTTTATGTGTGTGCTGGGAATCTGGACTTAGGTCTTTATGCTTTCGTGGTAAGCACTTTAGTAACTGAGCACCTCCTGAGCTCCTCTTGTGCTTACCATGTGACCCACTAGGTTAGTGTTTATTTTTCTCTTAATACTGTTTAGTTTCACCTTTCTGGTTTTTTTTTTTTTTTTTTTTTTTTTTGTATCTTCTTACACCAAGCACTGTTAGGCACTGAAGTATTTCAACTCTTAAGGTTTTCATGTCTATGGATAAAATATTTAAGTAAGAATTACAATAATATCAATGGATTTGTATTTAGGAAATACTCCCCAAAGCAAAAATATCAAGGCAAGTAAATTGCTTGCTCATTAAATTCTGTGAAATGTAGCTTCTGGTTTTTTGTTGTTGTTTATTTTATTTCATTGAAGTTAAACAGCACTAGTATTTCCTATGTAAATTTCATAAAAGATGTTTAAGTAATTAAATTGCTGCTTTATGTGCAGCACATTTAAAAAACTATTATCTGTTTTAAAGAAAATTTATTACCTTTGCTTTTACCAGTTTCAGTAGTTAGGCTTTGCAGATTTTTATTTTCCCATTTATAGTTTTTATCTGTGGACTAGATTCTTTTTGTTTTGTAGTAATTGCTGAGTGTGATTAAAAAAAAAAAAAAGCCTGGTCTGTTGGTATACATGTTTTATCTAATTCATAAAATTGTGAGTGTCACTTCTGTTTTAGACTTATTACTTTATGCATATGAGTATTTTGTTTGCATTGTATATGAGTACACCATGTACATACCTGGTGCCTGCTGAGGCTAGAAGAGTGCATAGTGCTAGAGTTGCAGATGATTGTGAGCCACCAGGTCAGTGCTGGGGATCAAACCTGGGTCCTCTTCGAGAGCAGTAAGTGCTCTTGACTGCTGAGCCATCTTTCCAGTCTGGGACCATTACTTCTAGAGTAGACTATAATCATTTTGTTTTCTGGGACCAATCTACTGTGCTATTGACTCAAATATTTTGTATGTTTTTAAATATCATTATATTTTACTTTTATACCACATTTATAAGTTGTGAGTTATGAATTGATAATGATAAAATTGAAAGCTTGTGAATTCATGAACTGGTTTTCCTATCTTTTAATTGTCTGTCTTTGGTATTTCTGTTTTCAGGATCTTCTCTTAGAGATCTACAGAAGCATAGGAGAGCCAGACAGCCTATATGGCTGTGGTGGAGGGAAAATGTTACAACCCCTTACTCGGTAAATTGTACTTTATAGATAGTATTCAGCTTTTAGAAGGAGCTACAGGCACACAAAAATAAAAGATATTTTTACCATCTTTTTCTATAGAATACGGACTTATGAACATGAAGCAATGTGGGGGAAAGCCTTAGTAACATACGACCTGGAGACCACAATATCTTCCTCAACCCGCCAGTCAGGAATAATTCAGGTACTTTTTTTTTCTGTATCTGCTCTGTACAGCCATCACCAGGGCAACTGTTGACATTATTTCAGCATATCAGTAAAGTGTTTACACAGCCAGGTAAACTCCAGAGAGAGGACTGGAGTTACTGCTTTCACACATTAGGCTAAAGTCTCAGGGATACACAGGAAATCTGGACGGGTCAGTATAGTTTTATTGATTAAAATGTTTATTAGACAAGAGCAGAAGACATTTTTTGAGTTTGTACAGTATGCCAGGAGATACTCTTAGTGCTTCACATAGCATCTATTGGTCCCAGAAACTGTTATTTCTATCACTGGTTAATATGTTTAGGTGTTTTTCCATCAAACATTAGTGTTCTCTGAGGAAGTAAGAGAAGCAATATTTTAGAATTTTAGGTGATATTATTGATTAACACTTTTTAAGTTAATATTTGTTTGTTCCACCTCCCACCACCACCACACTAGTTCAGTGATTCTCAACCTGTAGGGCATACACAACCCTTTCACAGGGGTCATATATAAGATATCCTTCATATCAAATACTTATATTAGGATTCATAACAGTAGCAAAATTACGATGTAACAACAAAATAATTTTATGGTTGGGGTCATGACAACATGAGGAATTGTATTAAAGGATTATAGCATTAGGAAGGTTGAAAACCACCTCTCTAGTTTATGTTGAGATATTTATTATTATTATTATTTATTTTGTGATAACTTCCTTTTAGGCCTTACAGAATTTGGGGCTCTCCCATATTCTTTCCATCTATTTAAAAGGATTAGATCATGAAAATAGAGAGTGGTGTGCTGAACTGCAGGAACTTTATTATCAAGCAGCATGGAGGAATATGCAGTGGGACCTCTGCAGTTCTGCCAAGTAAGAAGAAAATTGACTTTCCAAAAAGTTAACCTTTCCCTAGTTATGTTTTTGTCTGACTCCAAAACTGTAATTTTTAAAATGCTGTTTTTATTTTATCTATGAACATTAAGGTGTTCTTTTTATATTTTACAGCTACTAAGGGATACAATTAACAAAACAAAGCTTAAATTTCATTCTCTAGGCCAGGCTGTGGTGGCACATGCCTTTGATCCCAGCACTTGGGAGGCAGACAGGTGGATCTCTGGCCAGCCAGGGGTACACAGGGAGGCCATGTCTTAAAAACAAAAAAGAAGTAGTACTAAACCAAGATGCCAAGAAGATGAAAGTTGTAACCATTATATCAAATTACCATATTTTTTAAAAGTAAAAACCAAGATGCCTAGACTATTAAAGGATTGATAGTTTTATAAAAGTTTTTTTAATAATAGAACACTAAAATTTAAGTCATTTTAGAGCCAGGCAGTGGTGGTGCATGTCTTTAATCCCACTACTCAGGAGGCAGAGGCAGCCTGGTCTACAAAGCTACACAGAGAAACTCTGTCTCAAAAAATTAAAAAAAAAAAATAAGTAATTTTAATTGCCTTAAATGAAACATGTTTTCATTAAGAAAGTTTCTTTGTGATGCCCTGGTATCCTGGAACTCACTCCATAGACCATGCTGTCTTGAAACTCAGATATTCACCGGCCTCTTACTCCTGAGTGCTGGCATTAAAGGCGTGCACTACCACTTGGCTGTTCTCATATTTTACAAGTATTTTATTGCTTAAACTGGTTTCTGCCTGCTTTTGTAAACTTCCTTGCTTGGTGTTTCAGCCACGCAGGTATGGTATAGTGTTATATAAAAGTAGAAGCCTCTGTTTCCCCAGTTTTCATGTTTGTCGCAGCTTCTTGTCATCCATTCTCTATTTTAATATCATAGCTGGGTGGTGGCAGCACACACCAGCATTTGGGAGGCCGAGGCACTCGGATCTCTGTGAGTTTTAGGCCAGTGTGGTTTACAGAGCAAGTTACAGGGCAGGCTCTAAAGTTATACAGATAAACTCTGTCTTGAAAAACAAATAAATACATAAATAATGCCCTAACCTCAGAAGCCATTCTTGATCACCCTGATGTCAGCTACTCTTTCCTGCTATTTGGCTACTCTATATTCATTCTCTGCATGACTCTTGTGATAATCTAGTATTTTTTATATTTATGGTACAAAGCAGAGCATAAGCCTCACAAGAGAAGGGAGTTTATCTGACTTGTCCATTAATGGATCTTTTGCATCTAGAACTTGGTTCACAGTGCCTGGAATATAGTAAATATTTGCTGAATAAAGAAATGGAAATATAAGACTGAGAACCAGACAAAATTTCCTAGCTTTTTTTTAATTCAAAGAATTAAAATGGCTTATAAAGTTCTTTGCTTTTTTCTTTCTTTGTTTTATTTTGTTTATTTCATTCTATTTATTTATTTTGAGGCAGGATGTCACCATATAGACTAAACTGGCCTTTAACCCACAGAGATCAGCCTACCTCTGCCTCCCAATTAAAGGCATATACCATCACACCCAGCTTTTTTTTCATTTCTGCCAATTTTTATAAGAAATCTTAACTTTAGTTTTCAATTTTGTTCTTTCAGTTAGTTATATATGCATATGTTAGGATTTTCTGTTTTTAAATTTGTTTTTTGATGTCACAGCCAAGAACTAGAAGGAGCCAGTTACCATGAGTCATTGTATAATGCTCTGCAGTCTCTAAGAAACAATGAATTCTCCACGTTTTATGAGAGTCTCAGATATGCCAGGTATTATAAAAAGACAAGATTATTTTTACATTTAATGCTGTGGCTGCTGTCCTCACAGTGTAAGTAGTTTCAATGTGAGTATTTGCATCGATGAAGGGATGAAGATGTGTTAGCTTGATCAGGTGTTTCCTTGCCATTCTTTGCTCTCTCTCTCAAAGACTTTTTCAGGACTTTATGTCAGTTCTTCAGTCTGAGCTCTCAGGAAAACCATGATAATGTTCTCTTCCTGTACAAGTATCCTAAGAGTTTTCATTTTTTTCCTCTCCAGTTACATGGCTTCACTCTCTTACCATTATAACTCTACTTTATAAAATGATGATCAGTAGTACTTTTAGGTTGCTTTGAGTCACACATGAGATAATGCATGATGTAGCAATTAGCTATAACAAGTTAAAATGAATTTTTTTAACACTGACATGATAAATCCTATATATGTGACAGAAATAATATTGATTACCTTTAAAGTGATTTTATTAGGAATTAAAAGTCTGAATTGTCAACCACGGAGCCCTCATGGGACTGGCCTAGGCTCTCTACATATATGGGGCAGTTCTGTAGCTTGGTCCTCTTGTGGGACTTCTAACAGTGGGAGCAGGGGCTTTCTCTGACTCTTTTACTGGCTTTTGGGGCCCTACTCTTCATACTGGGTCACCTTGCCCAGCCTTAACACAAGGGGAGGTGCTTTCTTACTACAACTTGATATGCTATGTTTTGTTGATATCCATGGGAGACCTGCTCTTTTCTGAACAGAAATGGAGGAAGAGTGGATTGGAGGGTTGGGGGAGAGGAAGGGTGGAGGACAAACTAGGAGGAAAGGCGGGAGGGGAAACTGGCCAGGATGTAAAATAAATAAAGTGTTTGCTAGATACTTTGTCAGGTTCTTTCTATACATGTTCTTTAAAGTGACTTCAAAGGTGAAAAACAATAGCTGTGACAAAATTCAGTAGCAGATTCAAGGATAGACAGACATGGCAAAACTGGGCTTAAAATTTAGAACTGTATGATCCTAAGGCTAGTGTTGGTCACACTGCTGTTTAATCATCCCTATGGTTTGTGTGTATTAGTCTTGTTAGGTCAGCAGCAAGCATATGTTAAATATGATTTTAACTTCTGTTTCTAAAAACTTGTTAGTTTCAGACTCTTATTTCTTTTACCCCTAGAGTGAAAGAAGTTGAAGAGTTGTGTAAGGGCAGCCTTGAATCTGTATACTCTCTGTATCCCATACTTAGTAGATTACAGGCCCTTGGAGAACTGGAAAACATGGGGGAGCTTTTCTCAAGGTATGTGGTTCATGGATTTTTATAGCCCCGAAGTGCATTGTGTTACAGTAGTAACATGTGATGGGCATGATTATTTGTTTTGTTAAGTGAGGAAAGGTTTATTTTGGTTCATGGTTTTCAAAGGTTTCAGCCCATTATTAGCTGCTTCCGTGTTGGCCTAGATGAAACACTGTGCTAATGGCACACAGCAGGAAGAAAGGGAAAGATTTATTATAAAATAAACTTGATAGATGTCATCTGTGAACCAGGAAGTGACCTCAGCACACTCACCATCTGATGCAATGTGATGTCATTTAAATTTATTAGTGTATATAATAAACACATTTTAGATTTTTCTCAGTTAAGAAATGTAATGCTAATAGGTATAACCTAAGAATTGAAATCGAACACTCTTCAGAATCATTAATTTTAAGAGTATATAGAGGTTTCTTTACTTAAAATATTTTAGATCTGTTGCTGTGGGGTGATTTGTGGTGGAAGTAGATGTTTGGTTTTTATGAACATGCATTATTATTTTCTTCTCTGTCAAGCAACTAAAGTGATTTCTCACACTTGCTTCATCACTTTCTTAATCTGTTCCCCTATATCTTTTTTTTTCTCTCTCAACACATCTTGAAAGGTAAGATAGTACTTCTTATTTTATGCATGAAAAAGGCAATGTATTCCTATAAATGAACTGTATATTCTGCATTTTCTGTTGCTTTAATGTTGTTAGCAGGTAGAATCTTTTTAAATGCCAGCTGTTTCTTCAGTGAATGATTTTTTTTGACAGCTATGCATAGTACCATTTGTAGGTAATTAATGAAGTTAGTTGAATTCCTTGTAGATGTGTCTTCCTTTGCTGTAAGGAGGACTAGAGGAGTAGTCATGTCTTTATGTGTCTGATTACAGCATTCTCATTTGAGAACAAACTCTATTCAAAAAGGTTACCTTTTAAAAAACAAAATCTTTTCAAGTACCTATTTTTGGTAACCTTTCTGTTGACCTTTAGCTACATGATCTAAATATTTAGGGCTATTTGTAAGTTCTAATCTTGCTACTACATGAGTTCCTTATATAACATACAATGTCTTAAGTTTCAGAACCTGAGAACCCTTTTCTTTTCATTTCTTTTGCTCACATAAGTTTACATAACTTGATTTTCAGGTCAGTCACAGATAGAGATTGCTCTGAAGTGTACTTGAAGTGGCAGAAACACTCCCAGCTTCTGAAGGACAGTGACTTTAGTTTTCAGGAGCCACTCATGGCTCTACGCACAGTAATTCTGGAGATCCTGGTACAAAAGGAAATGGAGAACTCCCAAGGAGGATGCTCTAAGGACATGCTCACCAAACACCTTGTAGAATTCTCTGTTCTAGCCCGAACCTTCAAGAACACCCAGGTAAAAAGCTTGCAAAATTATGTCATCTCACTTCTTGGGCTTTTTTATTATTCAGACACCAGTAGGTATAATAATGTGAAGAAGAAATATCATTGAAAACTAGAAATCACTACTGGGTATAAAATTAATTAAGATTTCATGCTGAGACAGACTTGTGCATAGACCTATTATAATTACAAGTTCAGAGACTACCTGGGCAAGAAAATGATTTCAAGGTCAACTTAAACAGCCTAGTGGGACCTGTCTTAAATATATAAAAAGGTGCTGGGACTGTAGTTGTGCAGTATCATGCTTCTTGCCAAGCATGTGAAATCAAACCCCAGTATTGAGGGAAAAACAAAACAAAACTTACATATTGGAATTAGACAAAACCCTTAATTTAAACTTGGGCAAGGCAGTTACCTTTTCTCAGCTCCAATTCCTGGTTATAAAATGAGAAGATACCCAACTTAATACAAGGTAAAAATAACAAAACAATGCTTTCACATACTTATATGTGCATGATCTGTGCTTCAGGGAGGTTTTTCTGGTCTGCAGGTTGGTAAGTAAGCAGGGAGCTAATTAAGATAGTCCTTGACAAATAGTGAAGTTCTTGATGAATAGTAATTGCTGCTTTGGTTTTTAATCTTAGTGATAATAGTATCTATTTCCCTGTGCCATTTTCATTGCAGCTCCCTGAAAGAGCAATATTTAAAATTAAGCAATATAATTCAGCTATTTGTGGAGTCTCTGAGTGGCATTTGGAAGAAGCACAAGTGTTCTGGGCAAAAAAGGAGCAGAGTCTTGCCTTAAATATTCTCAAACAAATGATCAAGAAATTGGACTCCAGCTTTAAAGAGGTGTGTGCTTGGCTTAGTTGGCTGGTATTAGTGCTTTAATGTTCCTGAAAAGCAAGTTCTGTGTTTCAGAATATGATTAAGGTTTTGAAATTACTGACCCATGAACAAGATATTATGACAAGAAATTTTGAAAATTAACGTTAGATATGAAACTTGGGAAACTTTTTCTTATTTAAAACAAATCTATCCATCTTTCTTGTGGTATATTCACTTAATTATCTCAGTGCTGTCTTTCAATTTTCTATAGGAGTCAATAATGATATGTAGAAAGTAAGTGGAAATACATATTATAACTTTGACGTTTGCTGGGTGGTGGTGTTGCACGCCTTTAATCCCAGCACTTGGGAGGCAGAGGCAGGCGGATCTCTGTGAGTTCGAGACCAGCCTGGTTTACAAGAGCTAATTCCAGGATAGCCTCCAAAGCCACAGAGAAACCCTGTCTCAAAAACTTTGAAGTATCAAGAACAAAAATAGAATTAGAACTGCCTGAGAGAAGAAAGAACAATTTGCCATTCTAAGTGCTCTGAAAATATCACAGTCAGTGAACAGTGCAGGGACATTATAGGGTTATGAATTATTTATTACAACAAAGCACTGGGTACCAGTATAACTTGCTTAAATATTTCATAGTATAGGCCCTAAAATATGGCCTGTTTTTATGTCTCAGTTTTTGCATTTACAAGTAGGTAATAATAATATACCTAGTTCATAGGATTCCTGTGAAAATTATGAGTTAATGTTGGAAGGTTCTTGGCTTATTTAAGTATTCAGTAAATCTGAATTTTCCGATGGTGGTGATGATGATTATGTTAAATCAGGGTGGTTATTTCATGAACTTGTATACTTATAATTATTTAAATAGTTATATGCTAAAAACATTAAGAAAAATATTTCTGATTGCCGTTTACCGACATGGAGGACATTTTTGTAATCTTGCAAAGGAATTACATTTTAAGAATTTCGCTTCTTAATACAGAATGATGCAGGTCTAAAGGTCATATACGCAGAGTGTCTGAGGGTGTGTGGCAACTGGCTGGCGGAAACTTGCTTAGAAAATCCTGCGGTCATCATGCAGACCTACCTAGAAAAGGTAGGTTGTAAGCGCAGCTCTGAAGGTTGTTGCTTAGCATAAATACACTTGATCTTCTTATGAAGAACTCATGTACCTCAACAGCAAATGGCAGTGTGGTTTCATTCCTTCAGCTCCTGCTGGGCTCTGTAATCGTTAGAGTAGGATGAAGCAGAATGCTACAAAAGAAGGAACAACTTTGAATACATGTATGTCTTCCATCTACTCTTTATACCCACCCCAGCTACTCTTTCAAGAAGTTATTTCTGGTTATTCTACAGAATATCCTATTACAGAACATACAAGCCATCATTGCTATTTGTGTGTACTCCAACTACCCACAGTAAGGGTTAGGATTTTACTTCTCTAGCCCCCTTTGACCTTACTATATCTCCCTTTTTGTCCTTCCTTGTCACTAATTTGGGAAATAGTTCTTTCACTCAGTAAGTTTAATATGAAAAGTAAAAGGTGATGTTTTATCCAAGTTTCATATTTTTCATTATACAGATATTTATCCTATTTGTTAAAGCATTACCATTTTTTTATTTCATAGCTTTTATAGATGGGATTGTTTCCTTGGGGGAAAAAAAGTAAGATGTGATTGTCATTGATAACTAAAGAACTTTTCATTTCTGCACAGTTCATTGCATCTGTTAGCTGATAAAGGTTCCATGACATCAAGTTTCACACTTACATATACATGAGTGAATCATCCTGATTCAAATGATTCTTTAACTATGTTTGACATTTGTAAGTATTATCTAAGTGGATTGTATGTTGTTGAAGGCAGTGAAAGTTGCTGGAAGTTATGATGGCAAAAGCAGTGAACTCAGAAATGGACAGATGAAGGCATTTCTCTCATTAGCACGGTTCTCCGATACTCAGTACCAGAGAATTGAAAACTACATGAAATCATCAGAATTTGAAAATAAGCAAGCTCTCTTAAAAAGAGCCAAAGAAGAAGTGGGCCTTCTAAGGGAACATAAAATTCAAACTAACAGGTAACTGTATGCCTACAAGCGGTGGTTTTATGTTCAGCTAAAGGAAAGTTTTCATGTGGGACTTGAACTTGTCATTTGAATTATAGTTTTGAACACTTAAATTGGCTTTTTAAAATAGCCTTTCTCAGTAGTTAATCACAACTTCAGTCAGTCTTCAGTACACTGTCAGATGTTCTTCTCTGAAGAGCTAATGTCTTAGTTTAGCTGTTGGTTTGTTTGGTTTTACTAGTTACTGAAATTAAGTACAAAAAAACTTGATTGCTTTGGCATTGTCAAGTTCCTTTAAGTCTGTATTGGGTTTTTGTATGTTTGCAGTAAGCAGAGAATTAACTATAGGGTCCACTCTGTCTTTGGATATATGGAAGACCTATTAGTTGTGACATTTAGTTTCTTTTATTATCCTTAGAATTGGGTTTTTTCTTGGAGTAAATACCTTGTTTTTCATTTATGCTGTTTTTATTATGCATGATTTTACAGTTATGTAAAGTTTTGTGACTTTTATGTGTGAATTTATCTAATACAAGATACACAGTAAAGGTTCAGAGAGAACTGGAGCTAGATGAATGTGCTCTCCGTGCACTGAAAGAGGATCGTAAACGCTTCCTGTGTAAAGCAGTTGAGAACTACATCAGCTGCTTGCTAAGTGGAGAAGAACAAGATATGTGGGTATTCCGGCTTTGCTCCCTCTGGCTTGAAAATTCTGGAGTTCCTGAAGTCAATGGAATGATGAAGGCAAGTCTTACCCAACCTAGCAGTTGGGCATCTGCTTTAAAAACTGAGGCATAAGCCCCTTCTGTGTCCTGTTTTGTACATCCCTGTGTTTCCCTAGCAATGGGTTTGACGCTAAATGATGCAGGTTTGTGTGGAGGTGAGAGAATTTATGTTGTTTTATTTTTGCAGATACTATATGGGAGTGCCTAGAAACAAAACAATTAAAGATAATGTGATCCTAAGCAAGAATTTCCTTTTTTTTTTAAATTATGCTTTTGAGGAATTTTTTTTCAATAGAGTACTTTTACAAATAAAAAAATTTCTTGACATACAGGAGTGCTTTCTAAGCTTTTACTGAAAAAAATATTAAGATATATGCATAAAATAAATATATATTGCCATTCAGTTTGAAGGTAAAATGTTTCTGAAATTGAAAAGAATGCTAAGACTCAGGGTTAGCAGAACCAGTCTTTTCTGCTGTGTGTATTAAACTTCATTATTTCCAGCATGTAGGAAAAATAACTTGTATTTTGTTATTCAATGAATTCTTGGGAATGGGGACCATAGTAGTACTCATGTCCATATTCGTCCTCCTCAGAGTCACTAGGATGTATGCAGTGGTTAGCATTGCAGCTCTGGATGCAACTTAATTTAGGGCTAAGTATTTTTTATTCTCATTAAATCAAGACTTCCTAGGCTTCCCATTAGAAGGCCAAGAGACAGGGGAAATTGTGTAGTTAGTGGAGTTTTGACAGCCACTAGGTTGTGCTAGTGGAAGAACATTATCTTAGTATTGTAATTTTGGCTTAGATGTGAGGTTATGTTACACATTTTTTAATTTTGCATTTTTTTTATGTCAGAGAGATGGAATGAAGATTTCATCATATAAATTTTTGCCTCTCATGTATCAATTGGCTGCTAGAATGGGAACCAAAATGATGGGAGGCCTAGGATTTCATGAAGTCCTCAATAATGTAAGTAGACCTAAAGTCAAAATTTCATAGTTACTTTTCTTTTATATTACTGAATGCCATATAAAGGAAAATGAGAAATCAGAACATAAAATTATTTTCTTTTATTACAGATAAATTGTTTATTATTTCTGATGTTCCTCTTTAGTTATCTCTCACACAGACACATACATACACTACTTACTGCAAAATAATGACATAACTTGAATTTAGATGTGGAGCAAAATGAAAAAAAAGTATATTTAGATTTTTTTCTATTGGGTAAAACTAATAGTTATTAATTTTCTGATAGCTGATCTCTAGGATTTCAATGGATCACCCCCATCATACTCTGTTCATTATATTGGCCTTAGCAAATGCAAACAAAGATGAACTTTTGAGCAAACCAGAGGCAGCAAGGAGGAGTAGAATAACCAAAAATGCACCCAAAGAAAGCTCCCAGCTTGATGAGGTATTTGGATTAAATACAAGTCCCTTTATGTTGTCATGGTCATTCTTTCTCAGAATATTCCTTAATTCTCAGAGATTTTAGGAATGTGTGTTGTTGGTGGTATTTAGATTCTAAATCCTTTATTATGATGCTGCTACCCAAAATGGTTAACAATTCCTGAACATTTCCCAGAGCATAAATACTGACTTGGTTTTGTCTTCTTGTAGCAATATACAAAATAAAAACAGATTTTAAAATAGATTTATTTTTAATATGTGTGAGTATATGTGTGCGTATATCTGGTGCCCACAGAGGCCAGAGGAGGTTTTGATTCCCTAGACCTAGAATTGCCATTTGGGTGCTGGGAACTGAACCCAGGTCCTCTGAAAGAGCAGAAAGCTCTCTTAACCATCAAGCCATCTCTCTAGGTCAGTAAAACAGATTTTTGAAAATTGCCCAAGTCATTAACCTTGAATTTTTATGTATGTATTTCATTCACTGTATTCATGTTTTGTTATCTGAGGAATTATAGTCCTTCCATTGTCTGGATATAAATTCTCTTTGTATTACTCCAAGAAGCTGACATGTTCAGAGGTTCTTGTTCTGTCTTTGTTCCTTGTTGTTGATGATAGGATCGAACAGAAGCTGCAACCAAAATAATCCATACCATCAGAAGGGAGAGATGTAAGATGGTGAAGGACATGGAGGCTCTCTGTGATGCCTACATTATATTGGCAAACTTGGATGCCTCCCAGTGGAGGAGTCAGAGAAGTATGTTTGAAAGTGTTGCTGCTGCTTTTGTTACAGCTTGACCTTCAGTTCACTATTTTCACTAAAATCTCTTTATTTATAAATATAGAAGGTATCAATATCCCAACAAATCAGCCAATCACTAAACTGAAGAATTTAGAAGATGTAGTTGTTCCCACTATGGAAATTAAGGTAATTTACCAGTAATTCTTGATTTTTAATAAAGCTAAATTACACATTAGTAGATTAAATTATTTGTAGACCTTTTATGTTCAAATGGCTAATTATTGCAATTTCATGTGTTTCCAGCTAGAGATTGTCTGTATTAGATTTCCTTTCTCCAAGCCTTAGAATAGTCACAAGCTTCTGAGAATTCCCATTGTTTTACTGTTATTTTAGCACTAGGGACTTTGTTGGGCAAGCTTTTTTTATACCTTTAATTTTGAAACCAATTCTTTCAGTGAGTTGACTTGAACCTGCTCAGTAATTTAAGCAAGCATGGAACTTGACAATCCTCCTGTCTCAGTTTCCTTAGGACCTGGGACTTTAGGCCTGTGGCCCATTTGTTTTGTTTCACTTTGTTTTATTATTCGGTGTGTACATTTATGCATGTGTGTGAGGGTATGGCGCCTATGGTAGAACTTTACTGCTGAACTACACTTAAACTACTCTTAGGGTTTGCAGGTGTATAACACCACTCCCCCCAGTTTGTTGTGGTTATTTTTTTTTAAATAATTCAGTGTACAGCAGAAGTATTGGTTGTGATGTATTATATTATTTAATAAAACAACAGATAGTACACTACTTTTTAAGTTGCTGTGTGTACATACTAAATTCAGCTGTTCAATCACTGTCATTACTCTAACTTTAAACAAAGTAAGTTAGAGATCCAGTTGTTAAAAAGCAGTATGTGCTCATTTATTTTCCTCCTTACCATTTATAATTTTTCTTCAATGTTCATTATTTATCTGTACTATAATAATTACTTGTCATCATTTATTAGGTTGATCCCACAGGAGAATATGAAAATCTGGTGACTATAAAATCATTTAAAACAGAATTTCGCTTGGCAGGAGGTTTAAATTTACCAAAAATAATAGATTGTGTGGGTTCTGATGGCAAGGAAAGGAGACAGCTTGTCAAGGTGAGACTTCCTGTTTCTGGTATAATCCTTTGAGGGTTAATGACATCAAAGTCAAGACCAACTTGAGCAGGTGTTTTCTACTTCCCTCATTTGGCTGTCTGAATCTAGCTTTATACTGAATGACAGGCAGGATACATTTGTGAAGTAGACATACAGTGTGCTAGAACCAAACTGCTTTTTTACTGTCTTTCTTTGAAAGACCATCAGAGAAAGTCTCTTTCCTACTATTGTGGATTAAAACCAAGGTCAAGGTCTTGCTCATGCTCAGTAATTCTGTACTTGTGAGTTAATCCTGGCTCTCTTTTAGGTTTTATTTGAAATGGGTCTTGCTAAGCTGACTGGGTGGGACTTGACTTTAGGACCCTCTCACCTAAGCTTCTGGAGAAGCTGGGGTTGTAGGTCTGTACTACTGGACTTAGCAGGCTCTTGTACAGTTGATTCAAGGGAAAGAATGTTACCAAGGTGTACACCCACTGTGAGCTTACTTTGAAAAGAGCTTTTGGTGGTAATCAGAGCAGATCTAAGGCCCTTGTTCCTGTACTGGAAAGTAACAACATCCTTGCTTTGTTCTGCTTGTGTAGGTGCTTTTGGTGTCTTACTGAAGATAGTAGAGAGATGAGATATTATTTTATCTGGGTGTTTTGTATTGTGCCTTAAGTTGAGGGAGTTCAGTTAGGAGAAACTTAGTCTTTTGTATTTGACTGCTTTCCAGTTTCATAGTTTTTTCTAAAGGCAAGAATGACAGTAGGTATTAATTATTCAAGAGACTCTGAAGGGGGTTATAGCGCAGATTGATTCTGAGTGCCTTGTACTACCTGTTCTTAGATATGACTGTGTGCTTATAAAGTAAATTATATCTGTTTATGTCTGGTTGTTCTGAAGGGCCGTGATGACCTGAGGCAAGATGCTGTCATGCAACAGGTTTTCCAGATGTGCAATACACTACTGCAGAGAAACACTGAGACTAGAAAGAGGAAACTCACTATCTGCACATACAAGGTAACTAACTTACTGGCTTCTATTCTGGTGTTTCACCAAGAAAAGTATACTATCTGGACTAAGGATAAATGAATGTTTTCTGTGAAGGAACAAATAGTGAATATTTTAGACTTTGAGAGCCACTTAAGTCTCTTGCATTTTAAATCTGTAAAGCCATTCTTGGCTTGCATGCTGTATAGAAATAAACAGATGCCCTATAGATTGTCTCGCTCTGTTTGTACAATACAATTTTAATTTTCATTTTAGTATCATTTAAGGTTATTTGCCATTAAATATTTCCTGTAGTCAACTGAAATAGTCTCCCTTTATTGTATTAAGTAATGTACTATTGGGATTATGCTGTCGTATGTATGTACATGGTTTATTTTATAGGTCCTTACTTAAGACCATTTAGGTTGTTTCTGGGCTTGTGCTACTACAGTGATGCTCTGCATTGAAAAACTGAACATGCATGTTTCATTCGTGCTTAGGTCAGTCTATTGGAAAGATTTCCAAAATTTTTATTAATAGGTGAGAGGACACATTGCTAGAGGACAGTCAATGGAGTTAGACACATTTCCATTTCCTCCACAATTTACTTAAGAAATCTTCAAATCATGTTGTTCTTTTAGCTGATCTTTGGTTCTTTAATTAACTCTTAATTAGTTAATATAAGAGTCAGTGATTTTAATTATTTATATGTTAATTATTTTATCTTTCTTCTAAGAGATACAATTCCATGTTTGTCATTTTCTGGCGTTGGTCCCATCTCTCATTCTCCCTCTCCATCCTCTGTCACTGCTGTAACAGGACTTATTGCTGCTGTGTTTTCCTTTTCCCGGGAAGATATGAACAAACTAAAAACCATTTAATTCACCTTCTAGTAGAGAACTAGTTCTTTTCAGACAGTCTCACTATCTCTTTCTTTTACTTTCAGAAGGGTAGGTGCTATAAGTATTTTCTCTAGAAATTTAAATATTTTATCAGGAGCTAATCTAACATTACTACTTGTTTGAAAATACAGTGGAAAAATGTTACCTTACAACAATTAGAGAATGTGTAACATTGTGTTCACTTCAGCAGCACATACACTAAAATTGGAACAATACAGAGAAAATTAGCAAGGTCCCTGCTTAAGAAGGAAAAAAAAAAAGAGTATATAACATGAATAAACTGCCTGGGAGTGATGTTAACAAAATAAATATAGGAATGGACAAAAAATTAGCAAAACATAAAATGTAAAGGAAAGCTGAGATATATCTTAAATGGGATGGCATAAAAAAATCAGCTTAAAAAATAATCAGATTATTTCAAAATAATTTTTGATAGTAAAATTTCAATAAAACATGTTGAGTGCTTGTCTGGCACATACATGGACCAGGTTCAATCTCCAGCATTAGGGTGGGATACAAATGGGGGTCCAGGAAATCAATAAAACTGAATAAGCCTTAAAGCATTTTTCAGATATATACATTTCTTTTGTTTGTTTTTTCAAGACAGGGTTTCTCTATAATTTTGGAGGCTGTCCTGGAACTCGCTCAGTAGACCAGGCTTGCCTCAAACTCACAGAGATCTTCCTGCCTCTGCCTCCCAAGTGCTGAGATTAAAGGCCTGTGCCATCACCAACCAGCTAGGTAAATATTTTAGAAAGCCCAGTGTGTATGTTACCAACTGAGTTACATTCCCTTCCCAAACAGATGTTTTAAAGACTAATTCTCAATTAATGCTAAAAACAAAAGCTAAGAGTCTATGAAAGCTGTTTTGTTTTTTTGTTTTTAATATTTACTTTGTGTATATGAGTGTTTTCCTCACATATGTCTATGCACCACATTGTGCATGGTGCCCTCAGAGGTCAGATTACATGAAACTGGAGTTACAGTTGTGAGCTTCCATATAATCACTGGGAACAGAACCCAGGTTCTCTGCAAGAACAAATGCTTTTAACTGCTGAGCATCTCTCCAGCCCCAAAGCTATTTTTTTTTTAATGTGGTTCAGATTATTAGTACTCAAGCTTTAAGCAAACATCACCACTTACAAGATTTGTGCTCCCTTCTTCCCTTTTTTCTCTCCCCACTTCCCTTTCTCTCTCCACCACCACCCCATTATTTATATGTTTGAAGCTAGGTTTCCTATAACTCAGACTCAGTATGTAGCTGAGCATGACCTTGAAATCCTGATCTTTCTGTCTCATTTCCCTGGCTTTCGAGGGCTTGTTAAAACAGATGCTCAGGATTTCTATCCGTTGGCCTGGAGTGGAACTCAAGACTGAATTTTACCTGGATGCTGAGCAATGCTGTGGACCACAATTGGAAACCCACCAGTCTGATTCTTATGCTTGATGACATAGTTTTAGAACAGGGTAGAAAAGCTGTTAGTTGTTTCCTGTCTTAGAGAACTGATGCTCTATCATGGGAATAAAAGTAAGTTTTTATGTTCTAAGTCCCAGGCTCTTACTTCCTGTAAGGTTATTTGCATAGAGGACTAAGGCATCTCAAACTCAATAAATGTAAAGTAGAACTCTTGGTTAACCATCTTCACTTTCAAAATAACCCTTTCTCCCTGCCTCAGCTAAAGGTGCTACTCTAAGACAAAGTAAAGCTCAGTCAGACACCTTATTTTATTTTACGGAAATTTAGTATGTGGGACTGGGGAGATATATCAGTGGGTAAAGGGCTTGGGAGGACCTGAGTTTGAACAGGGAATTTAAAGATTGTCAGTAGAAAAAAATAGGGAAGAACAGAATTCATAAGAAAAAAAGTGAGTGGCCAGTAAACTTATCATATGGTATTCTGTTAGTCATCTGAAAAAATACAGACTAAAACCACAGTGTGCTACAGTTAGCTTGAAAAGTGACAAAATGTAAAGGTCAGACGAATGTGTTGGAAAAATTCAGTAACAGCTTTTCTGGTAATTCAATAAATTGCAACAGTCACTTTGAATAGTTACTTCATTAAGTTAAAGATAGTACATTCTCTGTGACCCTGTTGCATATTTACCAGTGGACAAACACTATGGCCAGCAGAGTCAGTCTATAAGAGGCAAGAAGGTTCAACATGTCTTAGTAGCCAGTGTTGGTCAAATTTCAAGAGTCTGACACTCAGTAGTTTATTTTAGGCATTTTTTAAGCATTGTGTAATTTGGCAAAAGTTTCCCAGTGATAATTATCTCAAACCCATGTGCACAATGAAGCTTAAGACATGACTACATCAAAACCCTTATTAAGTACAAATGACATAAAGATAGGTTCGATATATATTAACTGAGAAAGCAGACTTGAGGTAAACAATGTTTATGATAAGGGTCTGGAGGAGCTGGTTTGTCCTGGCCATACAGATAGCACAGAGTTCACCAGCTAGTAACTATCTCTGCTCCCAGTCTGAGCAGAAAACAAGTTATACATGTCTCCCTTTGAAGAGACAAAGGTTTTCCTAGCTCTTATCTGTGAACACAAGAACCTACATGCCTCCTGTAGGAAATAAGAAAACAATACCAACCAATACAAATGTTGAAATACAAACTGGATAAACTGGACAATTGTGTATATATAGCATAAAGTTATGAAATTAATGATAGTTAAGTATATTAACAAAGCTAAACTTGAGAATGTCAAGTGAGAAAAAGCAAATTGTAGAAGTTGACATACATCTTTTATTTAAAGTTTCCAGCTATCTTGTCCTCTGACCTCCACTTGTATACTTGGCACTTGTGCCCCCAGTAATAATTAATTTGTAAAATAAATTTGCAGCTATTTATACATAGATAGCTTTGAAAAGAAGGTAACAAAAATACGTGAATGTGGAAAAGCAGTAGCAAGCAAGCAAGCATTGTGATGATGGGAGGAGGCGTGAACACAGCAAGAGGCACAAAACAAGCTTTATCTCTTTCCCTGAAAATTTGACAAACTCTTAGATTTGGTAAATCTGTTTAATGTATAAAATAGTATTTGTTTCTTATTATCTTTACATTTGTATGTTTATAAAATATGATTTTAAAAACAACTATCTCAGTAAAACGTTCTCATTTTTGTTTAGAAGTAATTAAATAATGAAAGTATTTTATAATTGAGATCACAGTCACAAGTAATTATTTTCCTAGGTGAAATGTCCTAAGTCTCATGGGTAACAAAAGTGTAAGGAAAGTAGCAGGTGCAGTTTTGCACACCTATAATCCCAGCTACTCCAGAGACTGAGGCAGGAGCATCACAAGTTCAAGGATCCTAGGCTACAAAGCATAATGAAAGCATTCTCTACTAAATGAACAAATTAATTATGTATCAATCACAGATAACATCTGTAATACAGATAATGTGAAACATCTGAGTATCATTAACACAAATAATCTTTCAGAGAATTTTATGAGTAGTGAGAGGTGAGTGGCTTCTCTTAAGTCTAATCAAAAGCTAGAAAGATCTTAATTTCTGAGCCTAGTTATTTTCCTGCTTTCCTCCCAGGAGCTTTGTCACTTGTAAGCAGATATTAGTAAATCCTGGAAATGATTTGCACTGCTGAAGATGAATGGTCATCCATGGTTCTTTAATGTCTTCCTATAATCAAAGGTATTTGATTTCACCTCAGGTGGTTCCCCTCTCTCAGAGAAGCGGTGTTCTTGAATGGTGCACAGGAACCATCCCTATTGGTGAATATCTTGTCAACAATGAAGAAGGTGCTCATAAAAGATACAGGCCAAATGATTTCAGTGCCTTTCAGTGCCAAAAGAAAATGATGGTGAGTTGAAAGGTGGTTTAGTAGCTTATAAAGCTACTAAATATTATAAAATTCAAAGTATAAACTTCATGAGATAATTGTTGAAGATAGTAGTTTACAAGATGTAAACTTACCAAGATGAATGTATGAGTGACATAGGAAGATCATTACACAACATGAAGTACCAACCCTGTCATCTTAGAAATATAAACATTGTCCAGTTTATACTAATTTGCTTTCAATTTGTGATAAGGCAATTCTTTTATTTTATTTTATTTATTTATTATGTATACAACATTCTGCTTCCATGTATATCTGCACACCAGAAGAGGGCACCAGATCTCATAACGGATGGTTGTGAGCCACCATGTGGTTGCTGGGAATTGAACTCAGGACCTCTGGAAGAGCAGTCTTAACCTCTGAGCCATCTCTCCAGTCCTGATAAGGCGATTCTTAGTAAAACAAACAAAATACCAATTAAAATAGAGAAGCAAATTAAGCCATTTTTATATGAAACAACTTTCTGAAATAATTTCCTTGCTATTGGCTATCTGCTTTAGCATTTAGTTGCTGTTTTAGCAGCATTTATATAATGCCTCCTGTCATCCAGGCACTAAGCTGAGACTTCACAAATTTGACAGTCATCATTCTTAAACCTGCTTTAAAGTGAGATGTTTAGGGGCTGTAACTTGCCCATAGTGACTTATCACATAGCAGAGCTTTTGAGCCTTATCTGTCCAAAGTAAATCTTTTTTTTTTTTTTTTTTTTTTCTTAGTGTTTTTTTTTTTTCCAGAAAATTCATTTTGATTTCTGTCACATGATTTTTGTTGTTAGCTTGTTTTAAACTTTGTATATGTGGTGTGCATCTGTGTGATGTGTGTATGTCGGCACTCATGTCATGGTACAAATTTGAAGGTCACAGGACAACTCTGTAGAGTCAGTTCTCCTTATACATGTATGTGAAAACCAGAGATTGAACTCAGGTTGCCAGGCTTGCATGGCAAGCTCCATTACCTGCTGAGCTACCTCACTGGCCCCTAAAAGTTTTGTTTTGTTTGTTTTTGGTTTGGTTTGGTTTGGTTTTATTTTGTTTTTTGTTTCTAAATATGCAATGGGCATTTGATGGAAGTTTGTGTGGGGTGCATATGGTAAAGGATAGGCTTAGAAGAGGAAGCACTTACTGTATTGTGCCTGGTGGGGAGGAATGGAGAAAACTAGATTTTTGAAAGGCTTCCTAAGTGAGAAGGTATCTGAACTTTGAACCAAGCTTTTTAAATAAGTAGGTTTTCCAGGTAGAAAGCATACAGGGAGGAGGCATGAGTAGGTATATAGACATAGGTTGGGTTTTGAGAAGGGATGGATGAGGCTGGAGTAGCAATTGATCCTAAAAGTGGAGGATTGTTGTAAAGTGCTTATAAGTTTTTATCCTGTAGGTGAAAAAAATCCTTATGAAGAGAATAGGATATCAGGTTTGCTTGGGGGTGACGGGGGGGGGGGGATATGTTGAGGTAGGGTCCCTCTAGTCCTGGCTATCCTAGAGGTCTCAACATAGACCAGGCTAGTCTTAAACCCACAGAGATCTGTGCTTCTGCCTTCTGAGTGCTGGGAGTAAAAGCATGAGCTACTGTGCGCAGCTATAGATTTACGTTTTAGAAAGATAATTCTGACAGTAATGTATGTTGTCATTTTGAGAAAACAGATGAGGAATATAATTTGAACTAAGTTAAGACTAATTAAATAATTAATGATACAAATGGATAATCACAGGTAGACATATTAAGGAGGCAAAGCTGATAAAATTTGATTGATTCTTAGTGCTATCACTCTGTTAGAGGGAAATACTGTTGCAAGCAAGTTCTTTCTGAGTAAGATTTCAGTCACTCAGAAATGAGGTCAGTAGTCAACAAATGGTGTCGCATGAAATTAAATGGCATCTGTACAGCAAAAGAATGAGTTAATCAAATGAAAAGGCAGCTTCCAGAATGGGGAAAAGTCTTTGCCAACTATACATTTGTCAGATTAATATCTAAAATAAACAAACAACATTTTCTAAAAAATAAACAAGAAAACAGATGACCAAATCAATAAATGGGCTAATGAAATGAACAGTTCATGAAAGATGAAATCTAAATAAATGTGAATAAGTGTTCTGCTTCATTAGGTACTGGAGAAAAGCAAATCAAAGCCACATTGAGATGCTCTCCTCCTCAAGTCATATTGATAGTCATTAAGGACAAAGAGCCTGGATAGATGGCTAAGCAGATAAAAAGGTTCCTACTGCTAAGCCTGACCACCTGAGTTCAGATCCCAGGACCCACATGGTAAAAGGAGAGCACCAGCTCCCACAGACTGTGCTCTGACTGACACATGTACCTGCACCCCCGCCACCACCAACTACCACATATGCACAATGAAAATGTAATAAGATGGAGCTGGAGAGATGGTTTCAAGGTTAAGAGCAGTTGATAATATCTCAGAAGACTTGGGTTCAAGTGTCAGCACACACATGGTAGTTTATAACTATCCTCAGCCTCATTCCAGGGTATCCAAGGGGCACCTATATGGTACACATACATGTGTACAGGTAGAACATCCATACATATAAAATAAAATAAAGAAGATTAATTTAGGTAATAGAACAACACCAAATGATAGCTAGCACAGATGCCCTTACATACTGCCAGTAATGTAAACTAGTGCAGTCATTGTGGAAGTTAACATGAGGTTTCTCAAAAACCTAAAAATATATGTACCCTATGACCCAGCTATACTGTTCCTGTGTATCTGAAGGACTTCCAGGTATTCACAGAATGTAAATTCTACATCCACTCTAGGTGTCCATCAACAGAAATGGATAAAGAAAATGGAAAGTTTTAAGGCTTAATGGAGAATAAAGTTATGTTGTTTGCAGGAAAATGGATACAACTGGAGATAATAATACTAAGTTAATTAAGCCAGGCTCAGACAGATGTATGATTTTTCAAATTTGTGGTTCCTAAATTTTAAAAAATTATATATGTATATATAAAATGAAGGAAAACAGAAGTGAAATCGTTTAGGGATACAAAGGATTCAAAAGGGTGGGTATTGAGTGAGAAAAGAAGGTAAGAGGGAACAGGGTGGGGAAATAATATTCAATACACAATATATACCTAGATGAAATTTCATTAAAAAGTAAACAACAAAAAAGTATACAGAAAGGTGTGCTCTTCACGGTTTTCTGGATAGCGAGACAAGCAGTGTGTCTGGGTTTGGAAGAATTCAGGTGATGATATTATGTGAGAAATGGAGTGGCACATCACTCAAGTTAACTAGAGGTGTCCAGGCCAAGTTAGGATGTCATCGTCAAATGGATGGACACTGAGCCCACTTCCACAGAGAGGTTTCAGGACAGAAGTCTGACGTCTTCATCCTGTCACAAAGCATACTGTGACACCACCCAAGATTATTGGGAGCTTCCTCTGGCCTCTCTGTGTCACTCCCTCTATTTAACAAGACCCTTCAATTTAGAATGTAGTTAAAAAGCAGTCAAGGGATAGGCTCCTAATAGGATCATCACTTGAATTAAAGACTTTCCTGACCAAGTTGCTAACCTCTTGTGGGTAGAATGTCTTGTTTCTCTTTTTATTGCCCCTATAATCTATATTAGCTATTTTATCTAGAAGCATTGTGGGTATTAGTTGAATGTCATGAGCATAATACTAAGAAAATGTTATAAATGTTCTGTTTAAAGGAAGTGCAAAAGAAGTCTTTTGAAGAGAAATATGACACCTTCATGACTATTTGCCAAAACTTTGAACCAGTTTTCCATTACTTCTGCATGGAAAAATTCTTGGACCCAGCTGTTTGGTTTGAGAAACGATTGGCATATACACGTAGTGTAGCCACGTCTTCTATTGGTAATCCTGTGTATCTTACATATTGAGCACATAACTACATTCTGGCTTACAAGAGGGTGGTAGTGCTAATGGTAGTTGTTGCTCAAACTGTCCTCATGATTAGATCATTGTGTTTGTTCGTGCTGATTGTTAGCTCAAAGCCGTCTTTATAGAAGAGAATTCTATTCTAAGGTAGAAAAATAAAAACAGTTTTGTTTTGGTTTTTAGTATAGTGGATGTGGTTTATTTTCTCTCCCTTTAATATAGGTTCTTTGAGATTTTCTTTCGAAAATAAAACCTTTGATATTGCCCTTTGGCTTTTTTTCATTATTGTTTTTCTGTACAGAACCTCTGTAATATATTTTCACTCAATGGTTCATTGTTTAATATAATCACAGAGCAGAAATTGTTATATATATTTAAACACTTGCTATACAATATATGTTTTGACATTTTAATTTTTATGAGAGTGAAATAAAGTTAGACAAATCAGTTAACAAAATCCTAGAGTATGAGAACTAATAGAAGTGTAGAAACTGTCTCATGTTAATTTGCACCCCCAAATAGTTTCTTCTGCAGCTTTTGCACTGCACTAATAGTGACAGGACAATGTATGCTTAAGCAAGATCCCCAGTACTTGTGGGAACCTTTTCAGCCTTGAAAAATTACTAATTGGATTAAAGTAGTTTGGTTTATAAACAAGAAAGCAGGCTGAGTTAACAATAGGGCCATGCAGGTGTCTCTAATCAGGCTAAAAGTGTTTTAAGGCCTGTCATTCTCTGTCTTAAAAATAGAAATGCAGTTATGGCTGCACAAGCACCTGATGAGATAAAGTAGCAATCAATTTATGGTCAGCATAGTTCATCGGGCAGCAGAAAGTTTCACTGTTGAATGATGAAGTTACCAATCACTGTATCTCTCATTTTGTAAGAACACTTAGTTAAAAATTTGAGTGTACTGCCTTGACCCAGATAAATCAGGGTCTCTATCTTTAACTAATTTCAGAGAAAACCTATACTTTTTAATAAAGAGAAACTATTTTTAGCAGCACATCTATTTTTAAAATGTAATATACATTAAAATATCTGGCTAGATTTGACTTAAACTCTATACACTACTTATTATGTATAGTTTCCTTTAAATGACTTTAAAATCTGAACTACTTAAAATTGCATAGAGTCCATGGAACTAGTCGAAGTTATGATTGAATATGTTGGAGATTTCACATGGTGGTTTTGGTTTATTTTTTCCCTAGTTGGTTACATCCTTGGACTTGGTGATAGGCATGTACAGAATATCTTGATAAATGAGCAGTCAGCAGAACTGGTACACATAGATTTGGGTGAGTAGTAAAAGATATGAATCTTTAATATTTAGTCATCAAGGATTATTTGCATATCGGAATATTACAAATATGAGGAAGTCAGACACATCAACAGAAATATGTAACTTAAGTTTTTTTTCTTAACCATAAGCACTTGTGAGAGAAGCAGCATCTCCACCTATGATAATGAGTAAAACTCACTTAAGAGGTGGCATCTCAAGAAAAGAAGGAAGAGTGATTGAGAAGGTGGAAATCTAAAAATGGGGGGTGGGGTAGTAATTGAGAACTGTCCTAAATATTGCTAGAGGGAACTTTGCCTGTTATTAAGTATCTTGAGAGAAAGTGGTAGTAGATTAAAAAAATAGATAGGCTAAATACTTTTGACTTTTAATCTTTTAAATGGTAGGAAGTGAAAAAATATTTAACCAAGAGACAGTCATGTTTGAATTTTAGGTAACTTTCTAAGCAATTTGGACCAGGAAGTTAAGAGAGAAAATAATAGTGTAGACATGAAATGATAAAGGTTTGGACTAGAGTTGTAGTGACCAGGAGATTGGAGTTGAAGACCACTGTATTCTAGGTTGTATCATTGAAGTTAGTTGTGCAGTCTGGAAGGGGGATTTCCAGACATCCAGAGCATCTAATAAAGGAATACAGTAGGTTTCTTTTAAAAAAAAAAAAAAGAAAGAAAGAAAACTATGAGTTTTGCACATTATTTCAAAATATTAGTGAGATTTATAGAAAGTAGTGAAAGCTCTATATAAAAGTTTGGATATAATGGCAAATCAGACTCTTAGCAGTAGAGATGGCTGAAGTCGCTGGGCTGGAGGAGATTCTGATCTCACACTGCAGATGGAAGCTTTAGCAATGCTAGTATTGAAAATCTAAACCAGAGTGGACTTGGTGGTTCATGACTATAATCCTAGCACTTATAAGCTGAGGCAGGAGGATTGATATGAGTTCAAAGACAGCTTAGGCTATATAGGGAGTTCCAGACCAGTCAGAGCTATGAAACGAGACCCCCCATCTCAAAACAAAAAATTAAAAATAGGTCTCACAAACGATGATGAAGTATCTTAGTTGCTGAGCCATCTCTTCAGCTCTAGAAAGAGGCAGCTTCTGAGTCGCAGAAGAAAATCTTCCATGAAGGCCATAATAAAGCCCAGTATTAACTACAACAGAGAGTAGAGTGAATTCAAGTGTCTGCCTAGTAAGGAAACTCCATCCCAAAAAGCTGTGTACTGTGTGACTTCATTTATACAATCCATTTGATGTGACAAAATTATGAAAATAAGCAAATTAATGTTGGTTAGATGAATGGGGATAGGTGTAAGGATTGACAAGCCATGTGAGGGAAGTAGGTGTAGCTATAAAAAGGCTGGTGATGGAATGTTTTATGTCTTGGCTGTACTAGTATCCATATCCTGGCTGGTAGAAGGTATGTAGAGTGATCCTTGTGCATTATTTCTTAGAATTACATGTGAATCTGTAATTACCTCAAAATAAGCATGGGAGTTTGTATCTCAAAACCTTTTTATTTAAAAATCTTAGAACATATACAGCACAAGTCTTCTACATTTTAAATATACTAGTTATCCAGTTTTTAAAATCATCCTTTTAATGTGCATTCCTTTGTCAAGAAGCTGTTCTTCTGCATTTGAAGTGTTTCTCATAGATGATGGAGGTAAGGTAGGGGAAGCAAAAATAGAATAATCATCTACTAATAGAGTATGAGTGACAGATTATTTGCTGCCTGTACAAAGTTAGCATGTACTTAAGGAGACTGTATCAGCCTGTCACACTTTCTTGCTTCATGTCTCTTTGATTTTAGGAGTGGCTTTTGAGCAGGGTAAAATCCTTCCCACTCCAGAAACAGTTCCATTTAGACTCAGCAGAGATATTGTGGATGGCATGGGCATCACTGGTGTGGAAGGGGTCTTTAAAAGGGAGACTCAGCAGAGATATTGTGGATGGCATGGGCATCACTGGTGTGGAAGGTGTCTTCAGAAGGTAAGGGAGGGAAGGCATACAATTTTGCTATCAAAATTATTAAGCTGATAAATTTATATAGATGATGGGATTCGATGGTAGAATCACATCCCAGTACTTTACAGTACTAAGGAAAAGACTCTTGGTACAGGTAATAGTAGTTCTTTCCAGCCACCTGGGACTTAATTCAGCGTGACATGTTTTGTTATCCCTAACCTCCTCTGGAAGAGGCCCACTTGTACTGTTACTCAGCCTTAGCTGACATGCTCTGTTTTTGCTGTTTTGCTGGTGCTCATTGTTGGGAGTGTTTAAGAGATGATAGTTTTTTTGTTTTTTGTTCTTCTCTCATACAATACATGCTGACTTCAGTTCCCCTCCCTCTACTTCTCCCAGGCACCCCTTACCTTCTCTCCCCCCCTCCCCTAGATCCACTCTCCCTTCAGAAAAGAGCAAACCTCCCAGGGATATCAGCCAAACATGGCATAACAAGATGCAGTAAGAATGGGTACAAACCCTCATATCAGGGCTGAACGAAGCAACCCAGTAGGAGGAAAAGGCTCCCAAGAGCAGACAAAAGAGAGACATCCCACAACCAATGTCAAGTGTCCCACAAAAACACCAAGCTAACATGTATGTAGAAGACCTGTCATGGACCCATGCAGGCTCCTTGATTGCCACTTCAATCTCTGTGAGCCCCTATGAAACCCATGTAGTTGATTCTGTGGTCCATGTTCTCCCGGTGTCCTCTATCGCTCTGGCTCCTACAATTATTCCTCTTGTTCTTCAATGAGGTTCCCTGAACTCCAAGGGTAGGGACCTGATAGGATCAAGAGATGATAATTCTATCAGAAAGAACCATGTTCCAGTATAACTCCAAGCCAAAGATTTTGCTGTTTCTTGTAGATTTCCCAATAAAGGTCCATAATCTCAGCTTATAAAAGTAAATTCATACTTTCCTCAGTAATCAATCAAGACAAAGTATTTCATAACAGTAGTGTCTTTTTTAGTAAGTGCTGGGCTTGTGAAATATATACACATATGTTTGTATACATTTATATTAATTTCTGGAACATCTCTTAAATGCTGTCTTTGCCAACTGGTCTGCTCTTTGCTATCAATTACCAAAATTTTATTTCAAGAATCATGTAAGTATGTATGCATGAGTGCATGTAGGCAAAGATGGATTGAAATATTGGTGTGCTACAAAATCCATGTTTGTAATGTATTTCACTTTGCAGATGCTGTGAGAAAACCATGGAAGTTATGCGCAGTTCTCAGGAAACTCTGCTAACCATTGTAGAGGTAAAGTATGCATAAGGACATCTGGATTCCTTTGCCAGTCAGCCTGCCTTGTTAGGAAGCACTCATTTGAGGAACATTGCTGCTTTTTATGTAGAGTGGTGCTGGGGCAACAGAAAGGGGCACAGTGGGCATTTTCTTACATCACAGAATTTGGGGTTAGAAATGGTTCTAGGCCCCTCATGTTTCTTGGAATATTATAGCATTGTTCAGTAATCTACAGTTTTTAATAAATAAATGAGCATTTTGACATCTTAGACATCCCTCTTCAGCCTGAGGAGATAACTCAGTTGGTAAAGTGCTTGCCACACAAGCATGAGGGTGTAGGGAAAAAGACTCTGAGGGTACAGGTATCCAGGGTCTCTCCCAACATGAGGGCCTGCGTTTGGAACCCCAGAACCCATGTAAATACATAGCATAGGAGCATGTATATTTTGTAAATCACTCCTCCTGTTCAGGTAGGGTTGAGAGTCATTTGTATTTCACTGGTACTCTTAAGACTGTGATAATAAGGGTAGAACTATGTCCTTTAGAAGATTCAGTTAACAGTTTGCCATCGTGGTCTAAGTGACAGTATTGCATCTGAGAAATGATTCTATCTTCACTTATAATACCTTATCATTTTGGAACATACCTATCCTGCAAAGACACATGAAGTTCTGTGTTGCCCCTGGTAAATCAGTCCAAATTTCTGAGAGTCATTTGCTGTAGTTTTCCTAATACTGAAGAATAGTTTCCCATTCTCCATTGCTATCTCCTGCTCTAGGGCAGTGCTTCCCAATAGTGTCTTTGGACTTCCCAATTCTGAGGTCACTCCTTTCAAAGTCAGTCCCTCAGTGGTTTATCAGTGGCCCTGGAGGACCTCAAAGCCACATTACAAAATGAAAAGCTTTTTATACTGCTGATCTAGTACATGTCCTACAGTTAAAATATGCTAAAGACATTTTACCGTCGCAGCATGTAGATGCTGCAGAAACCCAGTAAAGGTGACAATCAGAAAGGATTCTAGTCCTGTGATGCTGGCCGGGCGTTGCCTGGCCTGCTGAATCATTTGCCTCTATAACCAACTATTCCACTTACTACTAAGACTATCTAGGCCTAATTAAAAAACAAAAATAAAAACAAGAAATGCACGCAGGGAAGTTGACTGTTAAATAAATTACATCCTTTTGTTAAAGCCACCCAGCTTGGGAGCTAATTAATAGAAAAAGAGCCACTGTAGTGGGTAGTAGGTTGGTAGTCAAAATGTTAGTTTTGATGATGCTAAAACTCCATTATGGAACATGACTTAAGAGTCACGTGAAATAGACCTTGGGAGAGAAGGGAGTAAAAGCCACGGTGACAACCTCCTCCAACTAAGTCAGTGTCATCCAGCCTGACACCCAACCCTGGGGGAAGAGTGAACTTGGGGTGGGTTGAGAACCTTGGAGCTTATCCTTAAAATAGCTTTCCTCTGCACATGTATATAACTTGACTCCCTCCACCAGCTACTTGTGATTAGTATTATTTTATGATGTGGTGGCTATTGTTTTTAACTACATAATCAAAGAGCACATCGTTGTTTTTTTTTTTTTTCTTTCTAGGTCCTTTTGTATGATCCACTCTTTGACTGGACTATGAATCCTTTAAAAGCTTTGTATTTGCAGCAGAGGCCAGAAGATGAGACAGATCTCCATTCTACCCCCAATGCGGAAGATCAGGAATGCAAACGAAGTCTTAGGTGGGAGATTTTAGGAGGGACCTATTGTTAGTTACTTAGATTTTGTTATTCCCAAGCCCTTAGCTGTTGTACCTCATTGTAATCTTCATGTTTTTTGTCCTTAGTGATATTGATCAGAGTTTCAACAAAGTAGCTGAACGTGTCTTGATGCGGTTGCAAGAGAAATTGAAAGGCGTGGAAGAAGGCACTGTGCTCAGTGTGGGTGGACAGGTGAACTTGCTTATCCAGCAGGCCATGGATCCCAAAAATCTCAGCCGACTTTTCCCAGGATGGAAAGCTTGGGTGTGACCTTCAGCACAGGAATTACCCTTAAATTCAGACTTCAAAAATTACATCTCAGCCACCATATTTGGATAGGAATTATTTAAGTTAATGACTGCATTTGAACCAGTTTTCTACTTGATTCATCACCACCCAAAAATTGGCATTTCTGCTCTCATATGTTAGAAGTAATAGTTACTCAAGATCTTCTCCTAGGGTAAATGTTGACCCTTAAGGTCATGCTTGTACTGTTTTCAGTAGGATCACCAAGGTACACAATGAACTGTAAACAGCGGGAGCAGCAAAGTGAGCTTTACTTTTGGTGTGCATTAGGACAAGTTCATAACTTCTACTCTAAGAAGTTTTCAGTTAAAATATGTTCCCAAGAGCTGGGCACTGGTGGTGTACACCTTTAGCCCCAGCACTCGGGAGGCAGAGGCAGGAGGATCTCTGTGAGTTCAAGGCCAGCCTGGTCTACACAGTGCAAAGCAATACAGAGAAGACCTGACTCAGAAAAAAAAAAAGAAAAAAGAGAGTTCCCAGACAGTCATTGTGTGTGCATACACACACATGCACACAACAAAGTACTTAATGATATTGTGAAAAGCGTAGACTGTAAAATTGTAATTGTCAATATGTCATGGGGAACTCACATTAATATAAATGTTGAGTTGGAGTCTAGCTCAGTGTAGAAAATGTACCCAACCTGTCTGACGCCCCAATTTCAAGACTAGAATTGCAGATTCAAGTGGGGGAAGCATGTTGAAAGCAAAGTAGTATAGGTTGAACATCCTTAATTCCCAAGCCCAAAACATGTGGTGTTTCTGACATATTGGGTACATTTCAGAGGTTCAGATTAGGTGGATAGCTAGTCTTAGCTTGTAGTCTGCACAAATACTCCACAATCTGAAAATGTCCAAAACCAGAAGCAGCTCTGGTCCTCAGTATTTTTAGGAGGGGACACTGACTAATTTCAAGCCAGTCCTGGTGGCACACCCCTTTTATACTAGCACTCAGGAGGCAGAAGCAGTCAGATCTCTGAAGTAGAGGCCACCCTGGTCTACAGAGGTTCTAGGATAGTCAAGGCTACACAGAGAAATCGTGTCTCTAAAACCAAAGCAGAAGAAATGGTCTGATTTCAGTTGCAGGGTCACTCAGCATTCCCAAGTGATGAGGTCTATAGAGGAAGAGCATGGCTGGTGTAGCTAGTGGTGTTTAAGTGAGTTCTGTGCTTTTTCTCTTTCAAGCCCTTTAGTAGTCACCATTGCTGTATTTTTCTCTTCTTACGTTTCTTCTAGTTCACAAATTCTCCTGTTAACTACATCTGTTCTCCTGTTAACCCGTTCATTGGATTCTTTCAAAAATTAGTTTTCAGGGTTGACAAAATGGCTCAGTGGGTAAAAGTGCTTGCTATGCAAGGCTGATGACCTGAGTTCCATCCCCAGAACCCATGTAAAGGTGGAAGGGCAGAATCAGCAGAGCTGTCCCCTGACTCCACATGCTTGCCATGGCACGTACATGTCCACATACACATACTCACAACAATTAAGTTTAAACTTTTTAGATTTCATTTGCAGCTGTGTGCCGTGGAACTAACAGATCCACCTGTTTCTGACTCCGAAGTGTTGGGATTAAAGGTGTACACCACCACATTCAGCTTAATTAACTTTTCAAGTCCTTTCCCGTCACCATCTTAAACATCTCATTCTGTGATCCCTCTGATAGTTTTATTAAGCTAAGGGCTGGGTGTTTGTATTGTTGATTTTGGGGTTTAGTGGGCTAATTTGTCATTTTGAAAGGTGAACTCATTTTTAGCCCCCTTCACACACATGCATGCGTGCTCGTGCGTGCGCGTGCGCGTGCACACACACACACACACACACACACACACACACACACACACACACACACACACACAATGTGTGTGTGAGAATCCTGGGTAGCCTCGGTAAAGAGTGATTCTTTAAAATAGCTTGCTAATATCTCATCCCCAGGGACATCACAGACATTTCTGGCTCCAGGGCTTTAGATCTCAGGAGTAGTGTAGATTTCTGAGAGCAGAAGAGTCTCCTAGGCCATGGTTACCTGATTTCTGTCCTCTCTGTGATAATAGAGTGTTTTACTGGTACCATTTTCGTGAAGACTAAGCCTGCATGTGTCTCACCATGGTGGCAGGGTGAAGGGAGGTGCACTTAATGCCTCTCACTTGCTGTTTGCAAGCCTAAGATTCTTTAGTCCATATATATATGTGTGTGTATGGATGTATGTATGTATGTATGTATGTATATGTATATGTATATATGTATATACACATATACTCTCACACATATATACATGGTTACACATATATGCATGGTTACACATATGGGTATTTATATATATACACCCATACACAAAGCCAAACTCTTAGTTTCTGCAAATTGTTAAGAAAATTATTTTGTATTTTAACTTTCCTTCTTAGTGTCTTTTGTCAGAGTTGCTTATGGATATTTGGTATCTACTGATGTAGTAAATCAAGAGAATGTATTACACTTAGAATGTCTTTAAGAAAGTGTTGACCTCTTTGTAGATAGAGGATGATATTAACTGATAAGGGCTAGCTAAATGAATTTGTAATGTTTCTGTAGTTAAATCACTGAAGAGGTTAGAATTATATAATTGACCCATTCTTCACCTTTGAATTATATGCCACAAACATATGCTATTCAGATTTTATCAATGGCTTTGAAAAGTCTGTATCAGGTTTTTCAGGGAAACCTAGAAGCAGCTAATTGAAATGTGAAAAGATTAAGTTAGAAAATATTTTTGACAGGCTTGATTAAAATGGGCAGTTACCAGGAGCCAATGAGGTTAGCTTTACAGGTATTTCCTTTATGCCAAGTACCTGATATGTCTATGATAAGCAACACTTCTGATTCTTACAACAAAACCTGATGCCAGGCAGTGGTGATGCACACCTTTAATCCCAGCACTTGGGAGGGAGAGGAAGGTGGATGGATCTCTGTGAATTCGCCAGCTTGTTCTACAAAGTTAAGTTCCAGAATAGCCAGCTAGTTCTCTTGTTACACAAAGAAATAGAGAAGCTGCTAGAAAAGGAAGTTGGACAGCTAATGTGTCTAGAGGGAGGGAGGCAACAGCCCCTCTCCCAACCTTGTGTTCTTGTACCCCCTCAAAGTGCTTCCAAATCGGGCCCCAAATCTAAGGTCATCATAGTGTTCACTTAAAATGGGAAAAAATGTGCGCCTAGAAATCTGTCACAAATTTAAATATGGTGTAAAAGGAACAAAAGCAAAAAGACAGAACCTTGCACACCTTAAGGTTTATAATAACCATCTTTTTAAGAAGGCCAGTATAAAAGAGAGAAAAGTGCCATTTCAAGTGTTTTAGTTGCACCTTAAAGGAATTACATATTTTATATAGATTTGTTTAGCACTTTTAAATGTAATTCTGTTACATTGTTACTTGAATGTTATAATTTTTTAAATAAACTGTACAAGTTTATATTAACTATACAAGTGTATGTCCATTTTATGAAATACTTGAGTGTTTGTTATATGTGCCGGGCACAGGACTAGTTCCTAGGGAGATAACAGCAGGAAAATCAGCACTCAGTCCAGGCAAGAGGGGTTCAGTCTGTGTCTCTACAGGAAGGCAAGTTACCAGTGTTCTTGGCTTTGGCTTAGAAAATGATCTAGTTGACATTCTCAAATCTAAAAAATTAAGTTGCACCAGGATATGACAAATAAAGATCCTAATATACTAAATGTAATGTTTCATTTTAATCATATTGTTTTAAAATAAATTCATACGCTTGAGAGTTTCATGTTCCTCTGTGCAGCTTCTGGCAAAATGAATTTTGTATAGAGTATAGTCAAAGTGTCCAGGAAGATTGGGTCCAGAATTGGTAAAGATCTCATACAATAGAATTATTCCTTGGAATAAAAGCCCCATAGTTTGCTCTAACAGGATTCGTGGTTTTATATACAGCAGGAGTAAGAGTAGTATATTGTTCAAAAGCAGAAGTTCTAAACCAAGGAGCTTTTGCCTTCTATTTTCAAACTAAAAAGTAGCTTGTCCTGTTAGGTACAAAATGACATTGTCTGCATTTGTAACAGCTGGGGACACAAAGCTTTTCATATTTGGTGTGGTTTCCTCTCTGCTGAAGAATAGCCACAGCATAGCAGGCATAACCCTGCTCGTGTCTTGGCTGCATGACATCTTTGCCTCTTTCCCCTCTTCACTTATCATTCATTGTCATCACTGGTTTCACTGATGGTTAAATCTTTCCTAGAAGGACTTTCATTGCTAGACCTTCATAAATATTACTCAATTCTTCAGTCTCTTATTATTATTGGAATTTAAGTTATTTACTCTCCCCTGAAATTTTATCCAGTGACTAAGGTAAAAAGTTTTATTCTTTCTAGAAACATATGTTGGTTCTTTTAGGCCAGTGGTTCTCAACCTTCCTAATATAGTTCTTGTGTAGTTGTGGTCCCCAACCATAAAATTATTTTCATTGCTACTTCACAATTTTAATTTTGCTAGTTATGGATTGTAATGTAAATCTGTATTTTCTGGTGGTGTTAGGTGACCCTTGTTAGAGGGTCATTCAATCCCCACCAAAGGGGTTGCAACCCACAGGTTGAGAACCACTGTTTCAGGTGCTAATATCTGCTATGAATAATTATTTTTTACTCCCAAATCTAATACTGTTTTGTTGCTTTATCTTCCTTTACTTTTTTAGCTACAGCTTCTGCTTGGTGCAGTAATAAAGGAAGACAGAAGCAGTCATATTTGAACAGTCCTCTGGCTCATGGCTAATGCTCAAATGTGTTTTCCCATTTTCTGTTTCCTCCAGGGTTTTTAATGAGACATCTGTGTCACTTTTCTTGTTAAAGAAATTCCTTTTCATCCCTGGGCTGATGTGAAGTTTTGAGGTGAGTTAACAGTTACTGCACTTACTGAAAATGACCGTTTTTCTGAGTATGTTACTGTGGTACTCACACTGTTAGGTTTTCTAAGATAAAGTCATCCTTACACTTTCAACACTTGAGAGGTGGTGGAACCTTTAGGAGGTAAGCCAGTGAGTGCAAGGATTTAAGGAAGGAGTGGGTTATGATCTTTGAACTCAAAATGGAATCCTGGTGCCTCTTTATGTTGTTGTTTCCTGTCTTTGATATGATCAGCTTTGCAAGACAATTTGCTCCCTGGCGTGATACTGTCTCACCACAGAGCCTAAAATGAAGGAGTCCTATAAATGTTGTTTACCTTAGGAATTTCGCCCCAACAATAGGATGCTATCATTAATGCCCATGGGTATATAGACATCTTTTCAGGACTCTGTCCTTAGTTCTTCTAGGTATAAAACCAGAAATGGAGTTGCTAGATAGTGTGGTCCTTTTGTTTTGGGGCTTTTTTTTTTCTTACCTTTTAATTCCCACAATGTATGATTTCTTGAGATTGACAATATATGCTATCAATCCCAGTAAAGCAAAAAATAAATGATGTAATTTAAGCGCATGAAATGAGTTCTTGTAAGCTTTGTGAGGTTTTTTTTTGTTTGTTTGTTATTGTCTGAAAGCCTAAAAATGTACGCATATTAATGGGATGTATGGATCCGTGCATGTGGTGTAATGTTCAAATCAGGTTAAGTGTCTCTCCTCAAGAGGGTCTTTGTTGTTTTTATGTGGGTGTTTTGCCTGCATTTATGTGTACCACTTGCATGCCAGAATATGGCAGTAGATTCCCTACAACTGAAGTTACATAGTTGTGAGCCACCATTTCAGTGCTGGGAATCAAGCCTTGGTCTTCTGGGAAAGCAGTCAGTGCTTTCAACCATGAAGCCATTTCTCCAGCCCCACTATGATAAAAGTCTTCACAGACCTATCTCCGAGGCTTTTGGAAATGCACACATGTATTTACTGATCATGTCTGTTCTTCATTCTCTCGGGGAGGTTTCCTCCTCCCTGCAAATCCCCCCCCACACACACACACTTTTTTTTTTTTTCCCAGCTAACACACAGTTGTTTTTCTACTTTCAGGTCTTTTGTTTCTGACAGAAGAATGCACTATTGGTTTTGCTATGTCTGGCTTTTATTTTGCTTAACATGATGCTCTCCAGATCTGTTTTGCCACAAATGATAGGTGACATGATTTTATTCTTTTTATGACTTAAATAGTACTCAGCTGTATATATAAACCACATTTCTTTTTCCAGAAGAGGATGATCTGTTGATGAGAGGTATTTAAGTCACAATTAACTAACTATATTTGGACGTTTGTCCGTTTATGTTAAGTAATAGTTTACCTTGCTGAGGATAGAAAGGATAGGAATGCCTTGTTCTTAGGCTTCTCGTTTTGAGGTCCACTAGTTTGCATTGGAATCAGGGGTGTCATTTTCTCTCTTAGGTCCAGGTAAGTCAAGCAAAAAAATCACTACATGCAGGCCTAGTTCCACCCTGCTACTAACAAACCTTCTGTAAAGGAAACTGAAGGCAAATCCATTCACAGTAGTTATAAAATAAATATCTTGGAATAAATTCAACTGAGGCTCTGATGACAGACTTCTATCTACTATGTAAGTTATTAAATATTGATGAAAGTCACTGGAGAAGTCCCAAGATGGAAAGACTTCCCATGTTTATGGTTGGAAGAACTAATATTATTAAATGTCCATATCACATAAAGAAATTAGTAGAAGCCAGGAGGTGGTGGTACATGCCTTTAATCTCAGCACTCAGAAGTCAGAGGCAGGCTGATCTCTGAGTTCAAGGCCAGTTTGGTCTACAGAGTGAGTTACAGGATGGTTCAGGAGAAACCCTGTAAAACCTGATTTTTTATTTTATTTTATTTTTATTTTTTTTTTGGTAGAGTCAGTCCAATCATTTTGAAAATACCAGGAGGATTCTATAGAGAACTAGAAAATAAAAAAAATCCATATAGTACTACAAAACTGTAAATAGCCAACAACAGCAAAAAAATTGGAAGGATTGCAGGACACTGGGTAACAATAACGAAAACTTAATAACCCCAGAAATAAAGACACACACCCCACCAGAAGTTTCAAAAATATACATTGTCCTAAGGACAGTCTCCTGATTTCCATTGGTGCTAGTAAACTGTATTTTAATGTAGAAGATTGAAATTTGACTCTGTGTCACACCCTCCACCAAAGTCAACTCAGAAATTTGTCAAGACCTAAATGTAAGATATAGAACTATTACAGGAAAATGGGAAACATAAGATTAGGTAATTCAAGTAATGATTTTCTTGATAGCATCCTTAATGCAACGAAAACAAAAATTGTCAGATGGGGAACACACCAACTAAAGTGTTCATGTGGAGCAACAAAATTGTAAGAATAAAGAGACAGCTTACAGATTTGGGATAAAAATACTTGTCAACTATTCATCTGTAAATCGTTAATATCAAGAGCCAGGCAGTGGTGGACACCTTTAATCCCAGCACTATAAGGAGCCAGAGGCAGGTGGATCTCTGAGTTCGAGACCAGCCTGGAGACAGAGAAATCCTGTCTCAAAATAATAATAATAAATACATAAGAAACTTTTACAAATGTTGAGTTGTCAAAACCACAAGATGACATCATACTCTTATCAAAAACCAAACAAAAGATTAATGTCAATAATACGGGGAAAGGAACCCCTTATATACTGGTGGAGGGAAAGTAAATTCAGCTAGCCATTTGGAGAGGAGTTGAGGTCACTCCAAAAAATTCAAAGCAAAACTACTATGTGATCCAGTAATGTTACTTCTGGTGTATATCTAAAGGAAACTAGTGTACAAAAGAAATCCATTTACTCCTACATTCACTGAAGCACCAGTCATCCAGAGGCCCCAAACTAAAGGAGATGGAAACATAGCTACCCTGATTTAGATGTTACACATTGTATACATGTTGCTTCCTCAGAAATGTGTAAATTGTTACCTGTGCATAATTTAAAAAGTACTTCAGTGGACAGTTCAGGAAAAAAAAATAAGCGAGAGCCATTTGGACATGGAGTATACTGTGAATGAGCTCTGCCCTGAGTAACTGTACGAAAAGCAAATTGTATTTGGAGTTTTTTAATAACTAAATATACTTTAAGTGTGTTTGTCAGACAACTACAGTTTATCAGAATACTAGGAAAAACTATACACTGTCCAGTGTAGTATTTCTATAATCTTCCTTAATTAGGACTAAATAATATATATACAAGTCATTGTAGTCAGAATACACAGTCTCTTGGCTTTAACTGAAAAATTGGCTTGAACGGCCATTGCTTAGAAAAGGAAGTCCTTTAGGGTTTCATTCCATACATGGAACTCGGTGTTAAGGGAGTGAAGTGATGTCTTACATAAGTATTTTCAAATTTCATATTTTCATTATCATCACTTGGTCCTTCCATTGGAGGCAATGACACATCTCCATAGTTGACATATAGGCTTCGCTGTATTTGTTTAAGCCTGGCATCTAAAGAGAAATTACAGGTGGTTAGAACAGTACCCTGCTCTGTAGTTCTTCCCTTCACACTTTGAGGACATGTCCTTATTGCTGTTTAACAGAAGCTCTCAATGCTCCAGTCTCTGTATTTGTTCTATTTTAACCACTGTTCATCTCTACATAGATCTCTGTATGGCCCAGGTTCTAGGTGTGACCTACTAAAAACTACCTGTGTAGTTTAGAGCAGTCATTAATGTTCTGTTAAGCCCAAGTCTTAATCTGTAAAATTTAAGATTGTGGTAGCACCTGCCTCATCATGTGTGTATAACCTCATGAAGGCCAGAGTATGTTGTGAGGTGACCTTCTCTATCACACTACCTTATTCTTGAGTCAGGATCTCTCACTGAACATGGAGCACTTCTCACTGGATATGGAGTAGAACATGTGTCCTCTCCCTCCCTAATGCTGATGTTACAGACACCCACAGGCTGTGTCTGGCCTTTCTTTTGCTATGGTCTTTAAGGGTGCACATTAAGTGGTCTTACCCACTAAGCCATTCCCCAGGCCCTGCCTGGATTTATGAGAATTAAATGAAATGGTCCATAATGTTTGGAATTGGGTGCTTTGTAATTAACTGTAGCCATTTCTTTATTCCCAAATGAACTATCTTTTTCCCCCTCTATGGATCTTCTCTGGATACCTAGCCCATCCCACCCAAACTGCTTTCGCACACATGCACACCCTGTCTCTTTGTGTTTGTTTTTTTGAGACAGGGTCTTTCTATTATGTAACCCCAGCTGTCCTGGGAACTTAATTTATTGATCAGTCTGGCCTTGAACGCCAAGATATGCCTGCCTCCCTTAAGTGCCTGGCTTTTCTAGCTTCTTGAAGGGTAGCACACATTCTCCCAGTGCCAACATCTTTCTTCAGTATTTAAGATAGTTTTCATTTACCCTTATTATATGTGATAGTTGGAAGGAACATATCTTTTTACCATAACCTTACAGAATTTAGTAATTTATAGTTTCCTTTTTTGCATCTGCCATTTATGTTCTTTTTTAAAAAAAGAAAAAACAATCTTATTTTACATACTAATCCCAGTTCCCCCTCCCTTCCTTCTGCTCCCCCCCAACCTTCTTCTCACCCCACCCCCCATCCACTCCTCAGAGAGGGTGAGGCCTCCCATGGGGAATTAACAAAGTCTGTCACTTGAGGCAGGAACAAGGCCCTCCCCCTATATCTAGGCTGAGCAAGGTATCCCTCCATATGGAATGGACTCAAAAAAGTCAATTCATATACTAAGGATAAATACTGGCTCCACTGTTAGTGACCCCACAAACTGCCCAAGCCACCCAACTGTCACCCACATTCAGAGGGCCTAGTTCGGTCTTTTGGAGGTTCCCCAGCTGTCTGGAGTCAGTGAGCTAGGTGGCCCCTTTCAGTGGCAGCTAAAATAAAAGGTGGAAAAGAAAGGCTTGTGTTGCCTGCTTGCTTTCACTTTAATGGCAAGCTCAATTGTGCTGTTGCTATGTTCTTTCACTGATAGCAAAATCAGCTTCTTCAGGTTTCTAACATGTCCTGAAGACCAGCAACTCTCCAGGCTCTCCAGGGACCCTCCCAGCTTTCAGTGCTGATGATGCCCCCACAGAATGAGCAGCCACAGGATTCTCATGATGTTCTGAGGTAGCCATTGTTGGCCTATTCAGATCACACCATATAATCCAATCTAATAGATCAGCATTAGCTCCATTAATTCCCAATGCAAAACTGCTTGATGTGTTTGAGGAACAGGCATGGAATCCAAAAACTGAAGACTATGAGTGACAACCAGAACATGTTCATGTAAGTACAGCAGAGGCCATAGCCAACTGAGTTTATATGTGGAAAGCTGTGTATCCGAGGAACAGACTATATGATAGGGTTTCCGCTGTGAATTCTTAACCTGCTTCAGTTCAAATCCTAACACAGACTGACTGAGCAATTCATAGTGTCTCTCCTCAGAAAATGCAGATAATGGAACCTGTTTCATATTTGTTTGAAAAATCAAGTTGTTCATTATTCATTCTAGTTGGTAAGAGTTCATATTATCTGTTGTGTGTGTAATGGACTTGGGGAAATATCAGCATCGAAATCACATGTAGGATTTGAAATCACATGTTGGATTTGAGTGGTGGCAGTGAGCTGGAAGTAGGTGAGCAGCTAATGAAAATGATAGCTCATATTAATTATGGGGTAATATGTGTTGGGCAGCATCCTAAGCTCTGTTAAGTGTCAAGCACTACTCCAAGCTTTCTGTATGTGTCACAACAATCCATGAGCTAGGTTCTATTGTTATTCCTGTTTTACAAATGAAGGAACTGCACTATTTAACTTGCCCAAGCTCACATAGTCAGTAAACAGCAGAACCACAACAAAAACCCAGGCTCTACACTCTAACCTCTGCCTGACTGCTTCTCATATAAGGTAGCAGAATTACACTCTAATCACAGGTGATCACAGTCTTTGGCTATTGTGCTGGTTGGTTTTGTCAACTTGACATAAATATAAACACGGGCAGAAAGACACTTACGGTCAGGTCAGCGCCACAGGTTAGATCTCTCACTACAGAGAATAGGCTACTACTGTCCTTTTTGATGCTCTGGAGAGCTCCAACAGGGAGCTCAGCTTGGTTTATTCACAGTGCAGCCCACCACTATGACAGCAAGCCACCTACAACCCTAAGCCTCAGCTTCCTTGTCTTTAACATCACAGGGCCAGATGGAGCCGGTTCCCTGCTGTCCTGTCTTGTTCTGCCTTGTTGGGAGCCAGATCCTGGGTTATAGTCTCTTTGGTAAGTAGTGGGATGGGGCCAGGAATAGTCTTGAGAGGAGGCTAGGGCTTCATGTGCAGGCTGTAGGGGCCCCAAGTCAAAGCAGTGGATGGCTGGTACACCTGTCCCTTCAGGCCAGCCTTGGCAAGAAGTGATCCAGAGCGTGAGCACCAGTTTATGAGAAATGCCTCTGTGAGACTGGCCTCTAAGCAAGCCTGAGCTATTGCTTTGACCAGTGATGGGATGATGGAGGGCTCACCTCTTGTGGGCATTGCCACCCCTGGGCAGGTGGCCCTGGGTGGTATAAGAAAGCAAGCTGAGAAGCCATGGAGAGCAAGCTAGTAAGTAGTAGCACCTCTTCATCAGTTCCTGCCCTGACTTCTTGAATGATTGACTGTAATGCGGGAGTTTAGGTGGAGTAGAAATAATCCTTTCCTCCACAAGTTGTTTGTGGTCCTGGTGTTTTATCACAGCATAGAAACCCTAAGATGTTAGACACATTGGTATTTCTGTGGTATAGTGATAGTCTTCAGTGTGCTATTACTGGAAAGACAATAGTGGCATAGAACTTAAAAAAATATTTCCAACATTTGGACATATTTTGCCAATCAGGTTTGATCACTGGAGATCATTACTGAAAAAAAAAAAAAAAAAAAAAAAACATGATCTATACAGCTTTAAAAATGTTTTATCCAGCCTTAAATAAAACAGAAAACCTATTTTCAAATGACAGCCCTACGTATAAAGATAGAAATGACCTGAGAGCGTCCTTTATATCCATGTGCGCACACACACACATTCTTCAGGATCATGAAAGGTTGGTACAGAAGTGAAGAACATCATTTAGACCCATACAGATTTTCCATAAAGTATTGCTAGAAGCCACCTACATTGGACTGGAGAGATGGCTTAGTGTTTAAGAGTACTGGCTGTTCTTCCAGAGGGCCCATGTTCAGTTCCCAGTGCCCATATGTTAGCTCAGAACTGTCTATAACTCAGTTCCAGGGGATATGATGTCCTCTTCTAGCCTCCATGGGCACTTCAGGCATGTGATACACTTACATGGAAGCAAAGCACACACACACAATCACCTACCTTTTAAATTATCTGAAGAGTTGCTTGTAGCAGTTTCTTTCCAGTTAGCAATATACCTGCAACATACCATATGGTCATTAAATTGACTTATTACTAAATAATAAGTTAGTTAATTAACATATGCTTAATGGTGACATCTTCACTAGTCTCAATGGCTGATTTTCATGACTTTATCACCTCCTATCGGGTCACACATACTTGTAAGGCAATCTCCAGGACAAGGAGTTACAAGAGGCTAAAATGGAACCTGCTGGCCATAGTGGCGCATATCCTTAATTCTAGCACTCTGGAGACAGGTAGGCAGATCTCCGAGTTCCAGGACAGCCAGGGTGACATAATAAGACCTTGTCTCAAAATAAAATAATGGGGCCTTTTAAAAACAAATACATCTGTAAGTGTAATTATCCAGATTTTTAGAGGTCTTTCCAAGAAATTACTGACTTGCAAATTTTCGTGTAGGGAGAAATGCCACATTCTAAATTTTTCTCACAGAATGTGTCATTAAACCAGTTGTAAACGAAGATAACAGTAATGGAGACTGGACACCATAAAAGCCAGGGGAAGTAGCTGCTTATCCCTGCCTAGGACCTAGCTGCTGCAAAGCCTGATTCTGTAGCTATAGATAATTGTGTCTGTGGTAGAAGCACTACTAGTGTACTCCTAGTAGCCACTCACCTTGCCTTAAGTGTTTGTCAGGGTTCAGTGAAAACACTTTGCTTTTAATATATTTAACTGGAGTGAACTGAAAGAAGTACATTGTTTGGAAACATTTAAGCAAAAAATGTGGGTTTTCTGTTACTTTCACCATTTCAAAACAACGTATGTTCATCCCACAGATGTGACGACAAAGCTATCTCTGAAGTTTCCCTGATGTCACCTTTTGCTTCCCCTGTTCTCTTTTCTCATGTTCCGCCAATAACTGACACCTTGATTCTTCTGTCCCCTTTATCTCCCTCTTTCTAATGTCTTCCATTTCTTTATCACCCTTATAATTTTTCTCTGCCCGTGCAATATCCACATTTCTTATAGCTGAATGTATACTGAACATTTTAACAGCTTTGCTGAGAGGTGTAATTCATTGGGTCTATGATCCACTCATGTAAAGTGTATAGTTTGGAGGTGGTTAGTATATTCAGACTTGTGCATTCTTCACCACAATCAATTTTCAAACATTATCATTACACCCGGAGACACTCAACATCCCTTAGCTATGATCTCTCTGTAATCTCAGCTCCACAGTCTCAGGTGACCTCTACTAATACATGTTGTCTCAAAATTTATTTATTCTGTATATATCATATATAGGAATCATTTGTAATTAAGCTGCCATCACTTGACAATTTCATTGACATCATGGCACATACCAGAATTTCTCTGTTCTGTTGCTGAGTAATACTACATTGTGTGGACATACTTAGTTTTACTTCCTAATCATCAGCTGATGGACATTGAGGTTACTTCTAATTTTTTCCTCATTGTAAAATGTTTCAGTGAACATTTGGGCTAGTTTTCATATGGACATATATTTTCATCTTTCTTTTTACAACTTTGGGGTGGAATTGCTGGATTATATAGCAACACTTGAGAAATTACCAGCCATTTCCCAGAGTGGCGGAACTACTGCACATTCCTTCCAACCATGTATAAAGGATCCATTCTCAGCACTCTTGCTATCACTTGTTACTAGCCATGCTGGTCATTTGAAGTACGCCACACAAAATTTTTAAAATACCTTTGAATAGCCATTTATGTTACTGATGCAGTTTCCTAATATCTAAAAAGGAGTAGACCGTATAGGTTGAACCTATTTCTTTACATAATTAACATAAATTGTTTTAATATTGTTAGCATCCAGGAACACCTTGGCCCTGCCCCTTGGGGCACATGGCAAGTACCCTGGCTCTGTATGTAGGCGCAAAAGGTCCCTTTAAGAGACAAACTCCATCTACTCCCACTCTCTTGCTGTTCCTCTCAAGAGGCAGACAAGTCTTTGCAGTCCCCCTCCTCTTCCCCCGACCCCGTTCTTTCTGTCTCTCTCTTTCTCCCTTCACTTCTCCTCTCTCTTTCTCTCTTCACTTACTCTCCTCCCTTCCCCCAGTAAAACTTCCAAGTTTTGTCGTCATAGGTGCTTGTCCCTCACCTGCCATGGTTTGGATTCACCTGCCAAGGTCCAATCTCGTGCCCTATCACAACATATAAGAATATATAAATAAAATAAAGTTAATTCTTTGCATAATTAATCGTGGTCTTAGCCTTGTTTCTGAATCCCACAGTAAAACAGAGTTAGACAAAGCTGCTGTAATGTATTCTTCTGCCTTACTGTAATTTTCTCAAAACCAATTTTGTCTTTTCTGTTTAGACAAATAATACTATTTTTGAAGGTTAAGTTCATAACCCCAAAGCTCAACCTGGGAACGGGAAATTTGTCACCCTGTGAATGCCTCTGTACTTACTCATCAAAGTTGAGTGTATTTGTCCAGTTCAGCACTTCATCTACTTCCCATTCCATCACAGAATCTACCCCTCCATCTTCAATACACCTTATTAGCCCTTTTGTTGCTTTGTGAATTAGGCTTAGAGTTTCATGATGTGTGGACTTGGCCTCCAGGTTTCCTAGGTAGTACCTAAATAAATAAAGGATAAAAGTGACACACATCCTTTGCAATAAGTGATTGGCCTATGGATGTCTTTGGGGTGTTGTCTTGATTGTTAGTTGATGGAGGAAGACCCAGCTTGCCTGGTCAGCTCCATTCCCTGGGCATGTGGTGCTGGACAGTATAAGAAAGCAAGGATTAGCTAGCACGCAGCATTATTCCATGGTTTCTGCTTCAAGTGGTGGATGACCTCCTGCCCTGACTTCCCTCAGTGATAGACTGTAACTTGCAAGCTGAAATAAAGCCTTCCCTCCCTTAAGTTGCTGTGGCCAGATCATCTTACAACAACAGCAGAGAATAAACCATGTTCTTCGCTTTTAAAAAACCAGCTGCGTGTGTGTGGGGGTCTGTTTCTCAGTCCTATGGTCTGTCCCAATCATCTCTGTGTGCCTTCATGCTGGGCACAATGTTTTGATTGCAGTTGCTTTGTAATTAAAAATTAAATAGGACAAGTTCTCCAACTTTTTTGGGGGGGGTTGGTTTTTTTGGAGACAGGGTTTTTCTGTGGCTTTGGAGGCTATCCTGGAACTAGCTCTGTAGACCGGGCTGGCCTCAAACTCATAGAAATCTGCCAGCCTCTGCTTCCCGAGTGCTGGGATTAAAGGTATGTGCCACCAACGCCTTGTAACTTTTTTCAATAATACCACCTATTTCTTTTATAAGACCAAGTCATCAACTTACATTTGCCTCATCCATTCTATCTTTTTAATTTTTCTTTTCTTTTCCATATCTTGCTTTCTCTGCAGTTTAGAGAAATGAAATTCACTTTCCTTTGTGCTTTCCAACACTTCATTTTCAGTTGGTATCCAAAACTATGGCAGAGTGAAAATGAATATATACAGAATTAAAATACTGATCGAAGAACTCTGTAGACAAGAACTTTGTGTTGGTGGGAATGTACAAGAGAGGATAGGAAGAGAAGACAGGCCTTTTCAATGTAGTTCTCATTAAGTTATGGGCAACACAGTTTCAGAAGCACCTGTTACAGCAACATTGACAAACTACTTGTGTACTGAAGCATTCCTTCAGTACCTGGTGAAATGAATGAACAGTAAGCCTAATCATGTCTGTCTCATCTCACCCAAACATACCTAGCCCCTTCTAGTACTGCTGGCTTTTCATGACTAATCCTTGAAGACTATATCCACTCAAAAAGGAAGTGTTTCTACTATGTCCCAAACTATGGTGTCTTTGAATGACATGTCCTCCTAGCTGGGTGTTTGTTTTCCCAATTCCAATTTATCTTCTCTTCCCACAGTACAACTCTAGAAAATGTTTACTGTGTCTCCCAATAGTTTGCCCTGTTAACCACTTACCATGTCGAACTAAAGCATCCTGCCTACTTGACTGATCTCTAGGCACAGGCATCTTCTGTGAGAGAAGGAGCTGTACTTCTTACCACTGTGTCCTTAGAATCTGGAACTATGCCTAGCATATATGACAGGCATGTAATAACATATTGAATGAATGCATTCACACCTGGGTCATTTTGAATACCTCAAACATTTAAACATTTGATATATAAGTATACCACATCCTATAATCTGTGTATTGAGTATGTAGTTAGCAGGGAGAAAATAAAAAGTGGCCTAGTTTCAAACCTGACTACTAAAAATAAATGTAAGAGAAGTCTGCCCACTGCCTCATTGTGAACATGTATGTAATGGATAGTGGGGAGAGAGAAGTAGAACAGTTCATATTCTGTGGAGAGAGGTGGAACTGGAGACATGACAGCAGTACCAGTTGATGTGAGTGGCCAGCTGCCATCTGGCTCCAAGATGTCGTCTACCCCATGCTGCTGCCAAGGGCCATATTTGCACCCACTGTCCTGATGTGGATAGGATCTGTGTTGATGTCCCATGGGAACTGCCAAAGGCCATGCAGATATCTGTAGTTGGGGCTGCCACCTAAAACCATGTTGATGGAGAGCTGGCCCTGCAGAGGCCCAGGCTGACCAACTCTGCTACTACCCAGGCTCAGACCCAGGGCTTTGAGTTGGCCCACCCCAACATCTACCCCATCTCTGAGCTGCTGGAATGTGTGAAGGGGCTAGTCCTGTGGAACTACAGCCACAGGATCTCCATGACTGGGGCAACAGCAGGATATCCAAGAGGAGTCTTGGTGAGGGTCCAGTATTGATGGTATAGCAGAAGCCAGAGCCTTGAACCAGACCAACAACTCATTATAGGGAACACTGGCAAGTAAAGCTGTTTAGGCAAAAGGGTATACTACGTGACACACTGCAGCTCCCAGTGCCACTACAACGGGTGAATATATGATAGACAGGAAGATAGAGGAGTGCAGTGCATGTACAAGGTAGAACTGGAGATGAGACAGCTGTGGTGGGTGTGAGAGGAGGCTGTTGTTGATAGAGGCAGGTTGTTGCCAAGAGGTGTCAGCAAAACGTTGGTTTTGTTTTTTAATTTTACTTTTTTGTTTTCTTTGGGAGGTTTATAAGGATGGGGGGCAGATACAGAAGGACTGGGAAATGAGTGGGATTAGGGTACATGATGTGAAATTCCCAGAAAAACAATAAAAAAATTATTATGTTGGAAAAAATAAATGTAAGAGAGCCAACAAGATGGCTCTGTACAAAAACAACAGTCAAACCTGATGAACTGGGTATGAAGGAGAGAGGGAGAGAACCAACTCTACAAGTTGTCTACATGCCTGGAGCACATAATCATCCATGCTTGTACACACATCACTTGTACACACACACAATAATAATTCAAATAATTCTAAGGATAACAACTTAATCATATTTAACAGCCCCAGAATACCTAAGTTAAGCAAATTTTTTCAATTAAATTACGATTACTATTTTTAAAATTCAAGATTAATTTTCAAAAATGACTCATTAATAAATATATAAAATAAAAATTACTACTATTTCCATTTTCTTACTCTATGGGAAACAGGCCTCCAGCCATTGTTTTCTACACGGCGGTACCAGCCACTGTGGTCCTCTACCTGAGGTGGATCATCTTTATTATGAGATGTGTACTTTGCTGGAAGCCTTGTATAATCTCTAGGGCTGTTAGCACACAGATCTTCAATATGCCTGTGAGTAAAAATCTTATAGTATATCTCTGGTGGAAATTTAACCTGTAGAAGGGAAAGTTCAAAGCATCATTGTAATGCAGTAGCAGAAATGGGTTACATTTTAAAGCTTCTTTTAAACTTCATGTAAGTGGGCTTTAAAACTACCAAAGAAGGACTCCGGCCAGGGAATCCGGCAGGCCAACCGCAGCTCTTCACTTCTCCCTCTGCTCTTCCAAATCCAACCCCCCAAACGCACCCCTAGCTTTGTAGCTGACCACCTGCCGGGGCCTCCTTCCCCCTCCACCTTCTACTGCCCCATCTCCAGTGGATCACGCATGGAACACATCTATCTCTTCCTAGCTTCCCTCCCCCAACTCATTGCTTTACCCCAGCCGCTAACTCCAGCAGGCACTCCCTGGGAACACACAGACAACTGCAGATCTTCCCCTCCCCCACTGTTCCTCCAAGTCCAACGACCCATTCTCATCCCCAACTGTATCAGGCCTTCTGCTGTGGCCTCTCCTCACTCTCCGCCCCCATTCTAAGGGACTAAGCAGATCCTGTGGAACATCCTGCTTCCCTCCCTCTTGTGGACCCCCTCAAAACCTCCCTCATAGCCCATCTCCACTGCATGTCAGCTCCCAGTACCTAGAAATGCATTTTATCTAAAACTCTCAGTGGCCATACTTATTAGGATCCCAGAAAAAAAAAAAAAATTCCTATTAGGCAACACACAGCTTTTGGGGAAATGCTGACCACGCCTACTTGAGAGGAGCCTGCCTCCACCACAGCCGCCTGGGGGTTTCATTCCTCAGATCAGTCTCCCACCCCAAGCATGGTCTCTGCCTCACACCTCCGAGTCCATTCCGGCCGGGCCTAAGAACCTGCTCAGCACTCGCCATCGTTCTGCCCAACCGCAGTTTCTACCCCTCTACCCCGTGGATTCTGTGGCTTGGGAAAGAGACAAGCTGGGCCACGTGTGCCTTCCTCAGGTTTCTGGCTCCTCCCCTTCTGCGTTAGTCTTTGCAGCCACCATATGCACACAGCCACAACAGAAACCAAGAAACAAAACACCCACACAACAAAGACAAGACCGGATATCAGCATCTAGAATTACAATCTTCCCAGTCCCAGATGCCGAGATACCAGCATAAAAACATGGTAACAGCTAGAACAATATGTCTCCACTGTAGCCCAGCAGCCTCTCCCCCAGAGCAGGCCCCGAGAAATGCAACATAGCTGAAACACAAGAAAAGGATCTTAAAATAGCCATTAAGAATATAACAGAGGTCTTTAAAGGAGAAATGAATAAATCTCTTAATCTATGAAAACACAAACAGTGGAAAGAAATGAATAAAATAGTTCAAGACTTGACAGTAGAAATAGAATCAATAAAGAAAATCCAAATGGAGAGAAATCTGGAAATGAAAAATCTAGAAACTCGAACAGAAACCTAAGAGGTAAGCCTCACTAAGAGAATACAGAGACGGAAGAGAGGCACCTGAGGACATGATAGTGAAGGGACCTGCTCCCCTTTCGGCAGCCGTAACAGCCGAACACGTGCTTGCCATAAATAGCCCCAGCACTCGGGAGGCACAGATGCCTGTCTCGTGACAAGGAACCCATCAGAAGTTAGTCACTAGACAGTCAGCTGCCTGCCTTGTGACAAGGAACCAATCAGAAGTTAGCTGGTGGCGCTATGCTTTATGACTCTGGGTGTGCTTTACGGACAAGTGCACAGCAATGATCTAGAGAGCATAGCCACCACCCTGGGAGGGCCTATGGGCCATAACAACCAGTTGACCAATCAACACAGGGCAAGCCCTCCAAGCCTGGAGGCACACCAATCGTGAGCCTGTGCGTACCCCTAGACACTCCCCTTATGCTGTCCTATAAGATCTCTCGGAAGGCCCTAGGAGCTGTCTTTTGCTAGTCATTCGCCATGGCAGGTGGGTGAAAGACCCGAGCTAGCATGGGGTTAGTTCGTTAAATTACAATAAAGCCTCGTGCAGTTTGCAGCAAGCTCTCGAATCCGCCTGGTGATTAGGATGACCACAGTCGTGGCCTGGGACCCCGGATACCTGAGTTTTCCAGGGGTCTAACAATAGGAGAAATGGATAAGTCAATCAAAGAAAATGTTGAATCTAAAAAAAGAAAAAAAAAAAAAAAAAAAAATTAAAAAAAAAAAAAAAAAAAAAAAAAAAAAAAAAAAGCATGGCACAAAACATCCAGGAATTCTAAAACGCTATGAAAAGTCCAAATCTAAGAATAATAGGAATAGAGAAAGGAAAAGAGACACAGTGTGGTCAAGGGCCCAGGAAATACTTTCAACAACCCCATAGAAGAAAATTTCTGAAACCTAAAGAAGGAGATGCCCACACCAAAGTATAAGAAGCATATAGAACACCAAATAGACTGGACTAGGAAAGAAAGCTACTCCCCAACCCCCCAGCACATAATGATCAAAATACTAAACATACAGAGCAAAGAATATTAAACACTGAAAGGGAAAAGATTAAGCAACATACAAAGGCAGACCTATTTAGAATAACCCCAGACTTCTCAATGGAGATTCTAAAAACCAGAATGGCCTGGACAGATGTTTTATAGACTCAAAGAGACCACAAATGCCAGCTCAGACAACATTCCCATCATAATAGATGGAAAAAAATAAGGTATTTCATGATAAAACCAACTTGAAGCAGCATCTATCTACCAATCTAACCCTACAGACAGTACTGGGAGGAAAATTCCAAACTAAAAGTGTTAAGCACACCCAAGGAAGCAAAGGGAATAACCCCAGACCAGTAAATCAAACCACGAACACACACACACACCATACACACACACACACACACACACACATACCATACACACATACACAACAACAACCAAGTAACAGGAATCAGCAAACACTGCTTATTGATATCTCTCAACACCAATGGTCTCAATTCCTAAATAAAAAGACATAAACTAACAGAATAGTTGCAAAAACAGAACCATCTTTCTGCTGTATCCAAGAAATGCACCTGAACATCAAGAATAAACATCACTCAAGCTAAAGGGTTAGAAAAAGATATTCCATTTAAATGGGCCTAAGAAGCAAGCTGGTGTAACCATTTTAATATCTGACAAAATAGACTTCAAACTAAAACTAATTAGAGATAGGAAAGGATACTACATAGTCAAAGGAAAAATCCATCAAGAAGACACTAATTCTTAATATCTATACACCAAACACAAGGGTACCCAAGTTCATAAAAGAAACATCATTATAGCTTAAATTGCATATTGAAACACACACACTGATGGTGGAAGACTTCAATACCCATTTGCCAATAGGTCATCCAGACAAAAACTAAACAAAGAAAGCTGGAGCTAACTGGCATTATAAACCAAATGGACCTAACCTATTCATTTCATCCAAACACAGAAGAATATACCTTCTTAGCACCTCATAGAACTTTTTCCAAGATTGACTATATAAATATAGTTGTACACAAAGCAAGTCTCAGTAGATATAAAAAAAATTGATATAACTCCCTGCATCCTAACTGATCACCACAGATTAAAGCTGAGTATCAGGATTAACAGAAAGCATGCAAACTCACAGAAACCAAACAACTCACTATTAAATGAAAAAGGATCAAGGCAAAAATTAAGAAATATTAAAGACTTTCTAGAATTAAATGAAAATGAACACACAACATACCCAAACTTATGGGACATAATAAAAAAGTTCTAAGAAGCAAGTTCATAGCACTAAGTGCTTACATTAAAAAAAAAAAATGGAGGGATCTCATTCTAGTAACTTAACAGCACACCTGAAAACTCTAAAATAAAAGAAAGGAAATCACATCCAAGAGAAGACAGTATGAAATAATGAAACTTGGGGATAAAATCAATAAAAATGAAAGAAAGATACAAAAAAAATCAATGAGACAAAGAGTTGGTTCTTTGTGAAAGTCATTAAGATTGACAAACTCGTATTCAAATTAATTGAAAGGTAGAGAGAGAATATCCAAATTAACAAAATTAGAAATGAAAAGGAAGGCATAACAGACCCCTAGGGGGTCCAGATGACCATAAGGACATACTTTAAAAACATGTACTCCACTAAATTGGAAAATCAAAAAGAAATGGATAATTTTCTTGGTATATACCACTTACTAAAGTTAAATCAAGATCAGATAAGCAATTTAAACAGACCTATGACGCCTAGTGAAAAAGAAGCAACAATGAAGTCTCCCAAACAAAGATGGTTTTAGTTCAGAATTCTATCAGACTTTTGAAGAATAGTTAATACCAATCCTCCTCAAATTATTCCACAAAACAGAAACAGAA